AATGTTGATGTTAGTTTTATTTATTTAATTAATTAAATCATTGTATGTTATTATATATTAATATAATACTAGCCTTATAATCCCTTGTCAATTTTGAATTAAATTCTTTCAAATTTTATATTAATGTTGACGTTGTTCTTGTTCTACATTAATATATTAATAGTATTTTTTGAGAACCACATAATCCAAATCAGATTCATTCTTTCAATGATGTTATACTCAAAGAGATTTTATTACAACATATTATTTCTTAGGGAGGAATATACACTCTTCCTAGTCATCTATCACCTGGTGCTAGAGATTTGATACCAAGGATGCTTGTGGTTGATCCTATGAAGAGGATGACCATACCTGAGATCCGTCAACACCCATGGTTCCAAGCTCGTCTTCCGCGATATTTAGCTGTGCCACCACCAGATACAATGCAACAGGCCAAAAAGGTTTGTTTTTATATCGTTATTGGGTTATCCCCTTTTTTTCTCCAATTTCATTCTTCTGCAAATGATATTCTTGGGTTTATGAGAACGCTTGCTCTATTTTTTATTGTGTAGTTAAAAAATACTAATTTTATGTGAGAATGCTTGTTTTCAAGCCTGGAGTAACTTTGCAAGCCACATGTCTTGAGGGCTATGGTTTCTTTTCATCTACTTTCTGCCTTTGTTATTCATAGTTTTACAGTTTACACTTACACATTGTGGATACTAAGGTGTATGTTACTTGATATATATATATATAGAATCCAAAAAATAAACTAACCGATATCATGGTTTTGTAGATTGATGAGGAGATCCTTCAGGAAGTGGTGAGTATGGGATTTGACAGGAATCAATTGGTTGAATCTCTTCGCAACAGGATACAAAATGAGGTTTGTGCCCTGCATTTTCTCCTTGTATATATGCCAGATTTTCTTTTACTAATATTCATATATTTCAGGGTACCGTAGCATACTATTTGTTATACGACAACCGATTCCGTGTTTCCAGTGGCTATCTTGGAGCTGAGTTTCAAGAGTCCATGGTGAGTTTCTTTTCACCTTATTATCTTAACATTTCATCGGTAGTCTGTCTCTAATGAAGTGATTTAGGTTATCTAATGGTTCAGAAGACATATTTTGTGACATTTGTGTAAATTGTATCCTTATGCAATCTGGTTGCTTGTTATATACTGTATGAGTATTTGAGATATGAGTAAATGATAGGCACCATCACATTACTTGGGTGAAAGCCAGGTAGATAGGAAGGGACAGCATAACTACTCCTGTTGAAGGTTGCATGGGAAATGTGAGGAAGAGGGGGGTGAACTTTGTAAGCCGACGAGGCAGGTGAGGGGGAGGGAAGAGAAGGAATTCAGTTTAGAATAAAAGAAGAGTAGGGCAAGGAAAAATTGAGAGAGGTGGGGAGTGGGGAGGAAGCTAGCCCTTGGAAGAGCTAGATGGATTCTGGTTTTGGGTGATGTAATCTAAGTTGCATCAAAGTATTTTTTGTAATTTGAGTGAGGTTCCTATCAGGAAACCATGTGATTAAATTTATCTTTCTAGGCTGAACATGATTCTTTGTGGAGCTTATAACCATGGAATTGTAGGTTTCATATTCTTAGTTGATATTATGTTTCCTTGTCTGTTTCCTTTTTCAACAGGATCCCATGTAACAAAACTCATTAGTTTTGGTTTTATAATGTGACTGCTTAGGACTCTGGTTTTAACCAAATACATCCCAGTGAAGTAGCTTCTTCAGTTGTTGGGCACCGCTTTCCAGGCTATATGGATTATCCGGGAGGCGGATTGAGACCACAGTTCCCTGTTGAAAGAAAATGGGCCCTTGGACTTCAGGTACAGTGCCCATCACTACTTATAGCTTTTTGAGAAAATTGTTGGATGTCTTTATTTCTCTAATTGGTTCCTTCTCTTCTATGAAAGTTTGGATTGTGGTATTCATTGCTTATGTAATTTCTTTTCTTTTTGGATATTGTACATAAGATATTGCTGTTGTCAAGAAGAAACTTTCCCAAAAACTTAAATTGTTAGGTTAAAGGTCATGAATGGTTATGTATCCAACATACGCACAATAGTTTTTCTGTACCATTGAGGCATAGAGGCTCTGATACCATATCAAGAACCAACTCTCCTAAAAATTTAAGCTGTTTAGATGAAGACATATGATTGGTTTTATATTTATATCTAATAGCTCTTGAATTTTTGTTAATGAGAAATTATAGTTTTGATGTCTGTGGTAGTTACTTTCTTGTTTGTCAATTTGTGCAGTCTCGAGCCCATCCACGTGAAATAATGACTGAGGTCCTCAAAGCTCTGCAAGAATTAAATGTTTGTTGGAAGAAGATTGGACACTACAACATGAAGTGCAGGTGGGTTGCTGGCATTCCTGGTCATCACGAAGGAATGGTTAACAATACTGTGCATAGTAATCATTACTTTGTAGATGATTCCAGCATTGTTGAGAATGATGCTGTTGCTAGTTCAAATGTGGTCAAATTTGAAGTGCAGGTAATCTACTTTAAGATCATAATCTCTACTGCATTTGATATAGAAAGAAAATTTAAATTACAGCCTTGGTAGTAGCGTTTGCTGATGGTCAGATAAGTATCGCTTGCTAAAGTTAAGTGGTTTAAAGATATAGTTGAATGGCCAAAAAAAAGGTAAAGCTACATGTGATGTGAAGAATCTTCAGATAATTTTCCTTCCCCCCATCCCATGTTTTTAGTACTAGTAATGTTTAAATCATTGCCTTTTCTTGACAGTGTTATATGCATTTGGAGATTGAGATTTTCTAATTATTAGACTAATTCTTCTTTCATTATTGGGTATTTTAATTCTTTTCCAGAATATTCTCAAATTCTTTTTTTAACATATTTAACAGCTTTACAAAACTCGGGAAGAAAAGTATCTGCTTGATCTTCAAAGGGTGCAGGGTCCACAGTTTCTTTTCTTGGATCTTTGTGCTGCTTTCCTTGCGCAACTTCGGGTTCTCTAGAGCAAAGAGTAAAGAGCTTAGGCTCAGATGAGACTTGAAATGTGTCTTATGTTGCATGTGAATAAGATTGCATTGTACATATAAGTGTCTTTTTCAGTCTGAGCCTGCCTTCTCTGTTTTTACAACCGTTTTTCTATGGGTAAACGTTATAATGAGTCAATCCTAAATATGGGATTTGCTTCGTTAACTATGGTGTTTGACTTGGTGTTCCTTTCTTATTGTGAATCTAATTTTATCAATGTAATGAAATATCTGGTGAAGTTCTGAAAGAATTAGCCCCCAACTGACAGTGATGCGTATGGTATTCAAGCGAGTGCTGTAAATGACTTGCTATTGTTACCAAAAAAACATGTTACCTCCACTGCATGAGTTTATTACACCCTTGTACTTTGATTTTGCTACTTCATAATACTGTAAGGTAATTGGGAGGTTATATTTACCATTTTTTTTTTCCTTCACCATCTCTTACAATCAATTTTGTTATTGTTGAATTAAAATTAAATCAATGGTTATAAAATGGCTTCAAGAGAGAGCCACATTGATTTAATTTAGATCTAATCATAACAAAATGGTTGTAAGGGATGGTAAGAAAAAAACAGAGTTGGGAAATATAATACATCTTAACGGTATAAGCACCATTAGAACGTGTATGAAGCATTATTCTAAAATTAATGGGTAAACTATACAACTGGAAAATATATGAAGGATTGTCCCTTTAACAACTGAGTTTACGTTGCTGATTTTCTTTATATTTACACTTTATGGATAAAATAACTAATCTACCAAAAAATAAAGGGATTAATGTTCATCTTTTTAAAGGATATATAATTGTCATTTTAAATGATAAAAAAAATATACAATGAAAATTATGGGAGAGAAAGTGATATTTTTAATTTAAATTTTAAATAAAATACACTAATTTTAACTAAAATGACCATCCTTTAAAAAATAAATATTTTTTCTAAAAATAAAATAAAATAATTATCGTACTCTTGTAATTGAAATTATAATTGTACTAATAAAAAATGCAGTCAATCCCTAATTCCCTAGTATTGCTTTTTGGAAAATCAATTTATGTATATGAAGAGACCAACTCCTTGCTGAACTTAGTGAACTCAAAAAATCCCCAATAAACAAGTATTGGAGTTTGTCCATTTTATGTCTTCGCCAATATTCTCATTAAATTGCTGAAATTTCACTTTTAACCTAACAAAAATAATATCATCAATATCATAATGATGACCAATAGATAGCTATAATTGATATTTTGTCAATTTGTTTTTCGTGAAGTTTCATACACAGGCCATTGAATACAGCCACAAAAAAAAGTCCCTTAGTACAAAAAATTTCACTCTCGAACAATGCATACGTTTTTATACGGTAGTAACATTCATTGTTAATTTGAGGATATCATCAATGTTACAACTCCTTTCTCATCAATCTAATCCAAACAAATTCATGTTCTAGTTTCTTGATTTTTTCATAACCGAGGTCATTAACTCTTTATTTTTTATTTTTTTTAATGAACCCCTATTTTTGAGGATTTAAATTCTATTGTTAGCATTTGATTGGTACTTTAAGCTAGATAAATGATGCAACATTTTCAAACAACAATTAAAAATTCCTAAAATATCAAATTTAGTTTTCAAGAATTATTAATACAAAATTGTTAAAATAAATTAAACTCAAAGAGGTGGTACTCACTATTTACATTTTTTTGTTGGCAAATACCATAGAATGTCCATAGAATGTTAATCTTTTTTTGGCCATTGATGATGAGCTACCTGTTTCCAGAAATTAATGGTGGTGATGAAAGAGAAGTTCTTTCAAGGCAGTTTCAATATGTGCTGAGTTTCTGTGTTCAATATCTGACTACTAATATGAGCAATATAGAACTAAGGAAATATAAATAACTACATTGCAATCACTAGAAAATATTTTTGATTACTATTGAAATCTCATGTTATAATATGTGATGCTTAGCATACACTAAAGTCATAGAAATGCATGAAACTAATTGAATGAACCGTTTAGCAGCATGTTAACAAAGCAAATATTAGGAAGATCAAGTGAATTCCAAAACAACAGATCTCCATCAAAACTGGATGAATAAGAAGAAGAAGAAGAAGAAGAGGAATCCATGCCAATTGATGTTTGTAGGTTTTCTTCCTCTTTCCTATCCACAGCTCCCATGTATTCTTTATCCATCTTATTACCCTCAATTTTGTTTTTGCTACAAGCCATCTTGAGGTTGGTTAGTTGATCAGAAAGTCCTTTTCCCTTTTTGTTTCCTGATTCAAGTTTCAACTTCAAGCACTCAGGTATCCCATTGAAGGCATATAGGGAAGCTGAGAACTTCCTCTCATATTTCATTCTCTTCATTGCATCCCTTAGCATTGAAGGCTCATCACCATAGTTCTCTGGCTCCACAGGCTCCTCAATCTCTTCAGCAATTTCAAAAGGAGAATAGTAACTTGATGGAACAACATTGTCAAGGAATTGAAAATCCTGTGCACTCAAATCAATGCCTTCTTCACTGTCTTCTTCTCTTTCCCTTCCTGAATTGAATGCAGCACTTGATGTTTGTTTCACACTGCTGAAATTACATTCCAAATCCATTTCCTTTTCCCTGCAGCCATCTTTTTCAGTTAAACATGATTCAAAACTACTTGTGATGTAATCAATTTGTGCACTATTATTACTAAATTCATTGTTGCTTGTGCTATAATCTTCATGATCATTAAGGAAATCTGTGAAATGGTCAATTGAGAAATCAGTTGACTCAGCTCCATATGCATTTTCTTGTTGCTTTTGTTGGTGGTTGATAAAAAGAGAACTGGAAGAGGAAGTAGAAGTAGAAGAAGAAGAAAGAGAGGAAGGGTTATTCCTAGCTTTAAGCCTTTGAAGGAGGATATTGGTAATCTTTGAGGGAAGTGCAGGAGTTGAGGAAGATTGAGAACAAGGCCAGAAGTTTGTTCTAGTATTGGCACCACGAAGCAAGCAAGCAGCTTCATCATAAGCTCTAGCAGCTTCCTCAGCAGTATCAAAAGTACCTAACCAAACCCTTATCTTCTGAATGGTATCTTTAATCTCAGCTACCCATCTTCCTGATGGCCTTTGTCTTACACCAACAAATCTCTTTCTGGATCTCCTTGCACTTCCTAGTGCTGCAGCTTCCTTCATCACCTCATTCCATTCCATTGTTGCCTCAGATGGATTGCTCTCTTCAACTGCTTCAGCAACCTTTCTCTTTCTTGCCATTTTCCTTTTGCCTCCTTAATTTTCTTAAGCTTATAAGTGTAATTCTTTTAAGGTTGGTTGTTATGGTTTTCTTTGTGCTGGTTTGGACATTTATATGGAGGAAGGGTAGTGAGTGAGCCTTGAAAAATTTCAGTTTTTAGAGCTGAACAGGTCAAAAGTTCTTACTGATTGGCTCCATATGTTTGTTTCTTTATCATTTAGGCTTCATATCTGATCATTTGGCGGTTTCTCAGACTTTGTAAATGGTGCAACTTATTGGACCTAGACAAAGGGTATTCATATTTCTCTTTCTTTGATCTTATTTGAAAATTTAACCATATTTTATGGGAAATATAAGAATCATGTTGCAGGAATGACACTGTTCATTTCTGCAACAAGGATCCGGCAACGTATCTTGAGGATACGGCGTCGTATCCTGATTTTGGTTTGACTTTTTTTTTTTAAGCGTGGGACCCACACTTGATTTGTGTGTGCAAAAAAATGGTCTTGTCATGTGACATGAAAAAAAGCGAACCCATATTTTATACCATGGTGTAAGCTTGAATTGTTCAATGAAACTGCTTTCAATCCTTATGCGGTAGAAAGTAAATATATGTGATCTGATATTTAGCCATGACATCACACGTATGGTTAAGATGTGAGTTATTAGATATAAGGTTTGAATATCACATTTGGTTAAGATAAATGGTAAAGAATAAAGTTAAAAAAAAAAAAAAAAACATTGTTATTTATCAAACTAGCAAACAAATGTTCACTGAAAAGTTATTAGCGGTTGGGGGAAGTGGAATTGGTTCATTCAGGTGTGTGAGGAATCCAGTTGTAGAAGTCTCTTTGAAGCCAAAAAAAGGGTCAATGTCATTATCAGTTAATAATTAAATCTTAAACACTCACAAAATAAGAATGTTTTTTTGTTATTGTCATTCATGATAAAAGTCACCAAAGACGATTGCTCCAATGCCCCACCTGGGACAAAAAAAATGTCCATGTCAAAAGTCACAACTATACTTACAGAATATAAATTTATTCAAATGTTTTTGCAATGTTGTGTATTGGTCTTCAGTAATTATTGAATCATCTGATGTTTTTATTGTGCAAACATTTTATGGGAAATTCATGAGCAGAGATGGTGACGTTTCTGGACCAACTTAAGAATCAGTTTCCCTTTGTGATAATTGTAGATGGTTACAAGCTACAATACACATAGTGCAAATCAAACGAAAACCTTATAGAAATCTTCATACCCATAATTTTGTGATTTTTTTTAAACCAAAAACATCTAGTTAATCTAAGTTTTAATAAATGAAGCATATTAAAACTTTAATATTTAAAATTGGAGGAATAACTTATCATGGGAGGGGAATAATAAATCTTAATATTTAAAATTGAATGATGAACTTATACCGTATAATCTTAATTATATTTATATCCATGATTAACCATTGATCTTAAACATAAAATTATGCGATTTTTTCCCCTTAAATAGGCATATAATTTATATACATTATATTGAAGTTGAGTCATCAAATCATCTAATACCATATATATAATGTTAAATGATGACATGGCAGCATCTTTCAAAGCTTCTTCAAATCATATAATGCCACATATGTCAAGTGACAATGTGACTTCTTCTGCTTAAATAAATAATTAGTATTCTTGTAAGGGATAGGATATTGTTACTATAAAATAATGTTATTACCAATGTCACTATCATATCTTATTATTAATTTCTGCTGATCAACGGTTATCATTTATTGCGAATCAAACTCATTAATTAATTATTAATTCGCAATAAATGATAACCGTTGATTGACAGAAATTAACATTTAAGATATGATAATAACATTATTTGGTTGTTATCAAAAAAAAAAAAAAAAAAACATTATTTGATAGTAATAATATCTTATCCCTTCTTGTAATACGTAAAGTTTTAATTAAAATTAGAAAGTAAGTCAGATTCATACATAACATAAAAATTGAGTTGAAATGAACTATAAAAATATAATATATTCTAAATGCTTATTTACTTTAAAAATAAACTCATTTTTTTAAAATAGTTTTATATAATTCACAGGGGCTCAAGATCCTTCGAGAAGCTCCGGTGGTTATTAGGGTGAGGATGAATCCAATGTAATGCGAGTCCTTACAAGCTTGTTAACTTGATGTAATCTCCCCCATTTTTTATGGGCTTTTTCATCCTTTTTCTTACCCCAAAAAAATTATAAAATTAATGTCTTCAATTATTGTTTACATATAGAGTTTTTCTTTTTCAGTAAATACAGATAAATTACCTCCATTGAACTTAAAATGATATTATTTTAGACGAAAATTAAGGTATTTTTATAATTATAATTTCATAAAAATATTTCTAAAGTTAATGCAGATAAGTTATCTACATTTACTCTCAAAATGACGTCGTTTTGGGATTGAAATATTAAAAATACTATGATTTTCGCCCCAAAACGACATCTTATTGAACTTATTGCGGATAACTTATCCACAGTAACTGCAGAAAAAACGAATCCTTATAATTTATTCTAAGATTGAATAGATTATAATAGAATTTATCATTATAATTTTTTATTCTTTCAATCTAAAACGGCATCGTTTTGATAGCAAATATAGATAATTTATATATATATATATATATATATATATATATATACGGGGAAAATATTTCTCCTGCAATTTGAGATAAATTTATCTCCGGCCATTCCAAAACTACGTCGTTTTGTTTACTTATTTCCTTATATTAATTGATTCACCTTTGAATGGTTATGATTCCATTTTTCTATCTTTTCCTTTATTACCATTGATCCATCTTTATACGGTTATGATTTAGTAGCCGGAGATAAAATTATCTCCGGCAGCTTGAGAAACGATAAGCCATATATATATATATATATATATATATATATATATATATCCATTTGTTACTACGACATTATGATTAAGAATACCCAAAAGATAAAATAAAAATAAGAATTGAAGGCTTAAATATTCAACTAAATATAAGGAATAAGCAGCTTCCAAGAACTTTATGAGCAATGTGTTTCTTCTTCTTATTCTTTTTTTAAATATCAAAAATTAGAATAATTTGTCAGCATATTGAAGAAAATGCTTCGTCTTGTTTCTTCTTCAATTTAATGAGCTCATTCTTTATATTCTTCAATCATATTCTTATTTGGTTGACTGGTTGGTTATAGTTATAAAAACATTAAGGATTGTACACTCTTTTTTCTTTGTTATAAATTATATTGATTTGTTGGTAGAATTTTCGAGTAATCACCTACACTGGCTACATATAGTAAACATACTCTGTCGGTCTGTCCCTAAGAATTAAGATAATTTCATAAAATCGTCTTAGTTATTGACATTTGATTTAATTTTTCTATTTTTGATTTATATATTTTTCACTTATAATTACAAAAATAGTACACGTTTCCTTGATATATTTTGTGTGCAAAGATCAACTTGATATACTTCATCAACTACAAGCTCAAGTTATGGCCACATATGACAATCTATTCTCTCTTATTTGACCAGTCTACGTTTGAACGATAAGATCAAATACATTTTGTTGCTCAAATCACGACATCTTTGGCAGAAAAACCCATTTCCCCTTGTTAAATTCGGTAAATGTGGGTCACATCTATTAAATTTCATAACTCAACCTTTTATTTATTTATTTTTTAGTAGTTAGCTCAACCTATTTTTTTTTTTTGAAATATCTCAATCAGTTCATTACTCCGCAACTAATCCGATTCATGGTGGATCAAGAGTAAGGCTTTAGACTCCTCCCAAAAGTGATACTGGAAAGATTCGAACACATATTCTCACTCCCACCTGCTTAGCTCCAATGCGCCAACTGAAGTACCACATTCTCAGACCATTATTTCGTATAAAGTCCAGGATCTCTTTAACAACCACAGCACAACTATCTAATGTTAAACCATTTAATTATAAAGTTGTCTATTATAGTTAATTATTTGCTTTTTGATTAGATGTTAACTATTAACTTTTTCAAAAATTTAAGTTGTTTGATAAATGAAAGCTCATCATAGTGTGAATATTATTATTATTATTATTATTATTATTATTTATGTAGTAATGAATGATAAATTATGCATACAGAATCAAATGAGGAACAATTGTCTATGTTCCAGCTCGATATTATTCAGATATGAATGAAACTTGAGAATATCATATAAATGCATCTGAGACAGGATGATAACTAGCCAAATGGCTTTGCTTATCTTATCTGCTTGAAGATAAAACAATCCAATTCCAATCATTTTCTCTACAGAATTAATTTTAATTAGATCTCAAAATTATATGAAATTTATAAAGATTATAAACTAAGAAAGTAATTTAAAAGGATACTTTAAATCAAATTTGTCTATCTTATAAGGGTGCTCGTTTTGAGGTACAGATATGATGGTATCTTTCTTGACTCTAACGTTATTGATATAAATAATTGTTTCATGTTTCATCATACTTGACTACTTTTTATTACATGGTTGAGTATAACACTGTGTGATTAGCCGTTAATTAAACAAGTAATATTTAAGATGTCTAACATTCATTTAACCTTTCATTAAAAGTTGAACTCGACTCTGCTTGCTTTATATATCAAGTTAATGTACATTTGGAGTATAAATGTTTCGTGCTAGTTCAAAACATTAAAAATAAATAAGAGTTAAACTCAAACAATCTTAGAAACATAAATAGCCAAATTCTTTGGAAATATATTCTTTATAAAGTCAGAGAATCTATTATTTTGGGGTGATTCTACTCTCATAGTACAAACGACAAGCAAACCCACATCAGAAGGCGGCAATTGAAGAAAATATACCAAATGTACTTTTCCCAAATACAAATTACAATTTATATCAAGTATAAATTACCAGTTTAGTTTACTTCATTCTTTAGAATTTTTAGTTTCTATGTATATCTGTCATTTTAGCTGTAAATTCTTAAAATGGTCAAAACAAGTTAACACATAAAAGTTTACCTATTTATTGTTTTATACTAATTGAGATAAGCATGTAAAAAAAGAGTGATCTTCAGGTTGCAGGGTTGTTTATTTTCGTGTTTGGCAAGTCTACCATACTGAGTTAGAAAAAATAATTTTATGTAGTTACATAATTCTTTTCTCATTTGGTATAATATTTAATTGTAGTAATTATTATTAGAGATACGATATTTATTTAAAATATTTATGTAGCTATTGAGAATGCAGTTGCAAAATGACTGGAGTTCAAACATGTAATCTGATAAAATAAGTGCCAACAAACCAGGCCTTTCAATATCTCATACTGATATCAAAAGTCTCCATAATGGTTATAGGCATAAATTCTCAATTCTAACAACGTAAAAAAGAAAACAACAGACATGCAGCAGAAAGGACCATCAAATCAAAATTGAAAGGAAGTTATGAGTGGAAGGTGCAATGTTTTATACAAGCATCACAAACCATTTGCTGAACTCTCTAGGTTGTTAATTTTGGATTCTGAAATTCAGTATACAAACGAAGCTATAGGAAGCTAATTATCAACTTAAACTTCTGAGCTAACAAGTAGAGGAGACCTGTGACTACCAAGCCTTCCCGAATATTTGATTGGCATCAGAGCTGGATCATTATATGCATTGGTCAATTTATCATAAAATTCAGACATGTTAGGATCATTTTGGTCTTCTCTGTCCTTCTTGATCAAACACTGCAGCGGACATAATTTCATAAGAATGAAACAAGGTAAAAAGAAAAAAGGTAATAACTCAATTGAAAAATAATAATAATCAGCAATATATGCCACTTAGAACTCATGACCTATCGGTCACAAAGAAACAACTTTATCACTGTTCTAGACTCGCCTTCTTTGCAACTAATTAGTAACCAGGATTTGCAGAGAGTAACTACATTTTAAAGTGAGCTATGACCATCAATCAATCATGAACAGTTAAATGCCTACCGGGGGTTGCCAAAACAAAAAGTTTATCAGGGCATAAAAAAATTGTGTTAGTAATAATCACAACTTCACAATTAAATAAGAGAAGATGAAAAACATACGTACGAAAATAAGGGCAGATGAAAAGCATACAGACATCATAATCAAGAAAAGAATCAGATAAATTAGCATTAATTGTCAACCAACGTACTTCGGCAGGATAAGCCTTGAATATAGGAAAAAACCGTTTCTGACAGTACTCATTGAATAGAAGTGTGAGAATAGGAAGAGGAAGAGTCAAGCCAGATGCTAACGGAAGCTTCTTCAGCCCAAATATCCCAATTACTATAATGTGCATCAGCACCAATGAAAAAATTGTGTAGTTGTGCACTGTGGGCCAAAACTCTCCTCCAGTCTCGTACTTTGCCACATAAACATTTAACAGCTGTTACCGAAAGATATTTAAGATATCATTAGAATTATGGTAATCAAAAGAGAAAGAAATAATATTAACAATTTATCAGATACAGCGCGAAGCCTTCTTCCAATAATATTTTGCCTCCAGAATCATAACCAAAACCAAAATTAAATAATTTAAATTCATGGATTAAACTATAACCATTAATTTGGAAGTAAAGGATTGTATATTATTGAATTGTAGTAATAACTGTACAAGAGTTCCCTATTTAAAGAGACTAAAAGACCTAATGGACTAAGTCCAAAGACGCTTCTAGAGTATTCTAACTAATACAAATAATAAACAAATAATTCTAATATTTACAACATTAATTCTAATATTTACAACACTCCCCCTCAAATTGAGGAATAGATATTTATCATTTTCAGCTTGCTAGTAAACTCTTGAAACCTATTATTAGGAAGACCCTTAGTCAAGACATCAGCCAATTGACGACCAGAAGGAATATACGGAGTAGTGATCAGCCCACTGTCTAGTTTCTCTTTGATGAAGTGGCGGTCAATCTCAATATGTTTGGTTCGATCGTGTTGGACTGGATTGCGGGCTGTACAGATAGCTGGCTTGTTATCAAAGAGTAACTTCATAGATCCTTCACATCTCACCTTGAGATCATCGAGTATGATTTTCAGCCATAATAACTCACAGATGCCTTGGGCCATGGCCTGAAATTCTGCTTTTTAACTCGACCTAGCAACCACATTTTTCTTTTTACTTCTCCATGTTATTAGATTTCCACAGAGAAACATACAATAGCCCGAAGTAAGCCGTCGGTTAGTTATAGATCCAGCATAATCGGCATCTGTATACACTTCTAAGGATAGGTTTCCTCCTCTCTGGAATAATAGTCCTCTGCCTGGTGTGCCTTTTAGATATTGGAGAATCCTATCCACTGCTTGCAAGTGTTTTTCCCTCGGATTATGCATAAATTGGCTAACAATATTGACTGCATAAGCTACACAGGTCTAGCATGAGCCAGATATATCAATCTTCTCACCATTCGTTGATACTGTCTTTTGTCAACCGGAGGGCTGTCATTTTCCCTACCTAGTTTGTGATTCTGCTCAATCGGAGTACTGGAAGGTTTACACCCAAGTTTTCCTGCTTCTTTAAGGAGATGAAGAATATACTTTCGTTGAAAAATAAAGATCATCTTCTTCGAATGGGCAACTTCTATCTTAAGAAAATATCTAAGTTTTCCTAGATCTTTAACTTCAAATTTAGAAGTCAGTCTTTCTTGCAGAGCACATTTCTCACCTACATCATCCACTGTTATAATAATGTCATCAACATAAACTAGAAGGATAGTGAGCTTGCCTTATTGAGAATGTTTAAAGAAGAGTGTGTGATCTCCTTGACTTTGCTTGTATCCCAATGAAACCATAACCTTGGTTAATCTTCCAAACCAAGCATGTGGGGATTGCTTCAAGTCATACAACGCCTTCTTTGATTTGCAAACTTTATTATCTCCATTTGTAAAGTCAAATCCTTGTGAGATCTCCATGTAAACCAAGCAGTAAAGGACAATAGAACTCTTACAATGTTCATTTTGGCCACTGGAGCAAATGTTTCTTCGTAACCAATGTCATAGGTCTGCGTGTACCCTTGGATACTAATCAAGCCTTATACCTCTCAAGAGTCCTATCAGAATTATACTTCAGAGTATACACTCATCTACACCCTACTGCCTTTTTTCCGTTTGGCCTGTCAATGACTTCCCATGTATTATTCTTCTCTAAAGCATTCATCTCGTCACGTATGGCTTGAACCCAATTATCATCCTTTAATGCTTCATGCACTGATATCGGGGTTGAAATGGAGTCAAGTGCTGTAAGAAAACTTCTATGTTGCATAGAAAGATTCTTAGAGGAGACAAAATGAGAGATAGGGTGTTGGGTACAAGACCTTTTCCCTTTCCTTATGTAACGCCTGGCAACTTGCAAGGATCAACGACTGTCCCCACACACTAACACGAGACTTTTCAGCGTGCTTTGTCATCACTCGCACACTTCCCGGGAAAACTTCCCAGGAGGTCACCCATCCCTGAATTGCTCCAAGTCAAGCACGCTTAACTGTGGAGTTCTTCCGATCCGGGCTACCGAAAAGTAGATGCATCTTGTTAGTATAGGTAGTACCAATTAATTCTTATAAGCCATTCCCAACTGTGCCGTCCCATACCAGCACAGTCTCTGGAATCCCTCTCTTTCGGGTGTTGATTCGATTCATTCATGTACCCCCGTCCCTAGAAGTCTGCCAGGAGCCGCTCCTTGTCCGTGCCCTTGCGCACCGGCGATCACTCCCCGCCCTCGTCAGCACCCGGGATGTTACATGCCCACCAGCTTCCGCCTGGTTCGTCCTCGAACCACACCATACTGGATGAGAGGCCCTGCTCTGATACCACTTGTAACGGCTGGCAACTTGCAAGGATCAACGACTGTCCCCACACACTAACACGAGACTTTTCAGCGTGCTTTGTCCTCACTCGCACACTTCCCGGGAAAACTTTCTAGGAGGTCACCCATCCCTGAATTGCTCTAAGTCAAGCACGCTTAACTGTGGAGTTCTTCCGATCCGGGCTACCGAAAAGTAGATGCATCTTGTTAGTATAGGTAGTACCAATTAATTCTTATAAGCCATTCCCAACTGTACCGTCCCATACCAGCACAGTCTCTGGAATCCCACTCTATCGGGTGTTGATTCAATTCATTCATGTACCCCCGTCCCTAGAAGCCTGCCAGGAGCCGCTCCTTGTCCGTGCCCTTGCGCACCGGCGATCACTCCCCGCCCTCGTCAGCGCCCGGGATGTTACATGCCCACCAGCTTCTGCCTGGTTCGTCCTCGAACCACACCGTACTGGATGAGAGGCCCTGCTCTGATACCACTTGTAACGCCTGGCAACTTGCAAGGATCAACGACTGTCCCCACACACTAACACGAGACTTTTCAGTGTGCTTTGTCCTCACTCGCACACTTCCCGGGAAAACTTCCCAGGAGGTCACCCATCCCTGAATTGCTCCAAGTCAAGCACGCTTAACTGTGGAGTTCTTCCGATCCGGGCTACCGAAAAGTAGATGCATCTTGTTAGTATAGGTAGTACCAATTAATTCTTATAAGCCATTCCCAACTGTACCGTCCCATACCAGCACAGTATCTGGAATCCCTCTCTATCGGGTGTTGATTCGATTCATTCATGTACCCCCGTCCCTAGAAGCCTGCCAGGAGCCGCTCCTTGTCCGTGCCCTTGCGCACCGGCTATCACTCCCCGCCCTCGTCAGCGCCCGGGATGTTACACCTTATAGCAAAGTTAAGTCATCAGAATTAATATCAGGCCAGTAATAGAAGAGGTAGTGCATTTAGTACTTACCAGTGGTTCAGGCGATTGCAATTGCTGGTGGAGCAGTGTGGGTTGTTTCTTCCTTTGGTACAGTAGTTCGGGTATCCCAACTTTGCGTACTTTCTGTCGATCGATAGGAGGCATGTCACATGAAGTATCAGAAGGACTCTCAACTTCGTTAACTAAGACTTCTTTCTTGTTATCAACTTCTGGAGCATCTGGGGAAGTAAAGACTGACTGAAGAGGTATGGTTAATGGTAAAGAAGGCTCAAACTCAAAGGAGAAAATGGACAAAGCTTCTAACTTATTCTCCCCTTGAAGCCGAGGATGAGGGAAATATGACTCAGATTCATGGAAAGTGACATCCATGGAGACAAAAAACTTATGACTTGGAGGATGATAACATTTGTACCCCTTCTTGTCTGGAGCATAATCAAGGAAGATACATTTAAGAGCTCGAGGGTCCAATTTGCTCCGATGTTATTTATGAATATGAATGAAGGCAATACACCCAAAGACTCGAGATTGAAGGCTCTGCGTGATTGGAATAGAAGGAAAGAAGGATATCATGGAATGAACAGGACTGACATGAACAAGCACTTGGGAGGGTAAGCAGTTGATCAAATAAGCTACTGATAATATGACTTCTCCCCAATAAGAGCTGGGAACATATGTCTGAAAAGGTAATGCTCTGGTTACTTCAAGCAAGTGACAATTTTTTCTTTCAGCAACCCCGTTTTGTTGAGGGGTGTCTACACATGGGAGCTCATGAATCATACCCTTATAAGAAATGAATTGTGACAGTCGCTGGTTAACATACTTCGTACCATTGTCAGATCTAAATCGCTTAATGCTTTTACCAAATTGTGTCTCGATCATGTGATAAAACCGAATAAACAATTCTGGTACTTCTGACTTGTCTTTCATCAACAATATCCACGTCACTCGAGTGCAATCATCAATAAAAGAGACAAATCACCTAGCACTTGAAATGCTATGCACTTTAGAAGGGCCCCAAACATCGGAAAGGATAATAGTAAATGGCTCAATACTTTTTATTGAACTTGAAAGAAAAGGCACACGGTGGTGTTTTGCAAGCTCACAAACATCATAATGGAAGGAGTCAATTGACTGATTCAGAAACAAAGAAGGAAACATTGACTTCAATAGGCTAAATGACGGATGCCCCAGGCGCAAGTACAACCCACCCGGCTCCTTAGCAACTCCAACCGTCCTCCGCGTGGTGAGATCCTGAATAACACAATGGTTAGGAAAAAAGATGACAGCACAATTCATGTCAGTTGTAAGCTCATAAGTGGAGATAAGATTAGTGAAGAGCTGAGGAACATGAAAAACATTTTTTAAAAGCAAGAAAGGTTGAATTTGAATGTTACCATAATCCATAACAGATTTGTGGGATCCATCAGCTACAACTATAGTATGAATACCACTAGTTGGGTGATATGAAAGAAACAGATCAGCTAGACAAGTCATATGCTCAGTTGCACCAGAATCCATAATCCATGAATTTTCGAAATCAGTGCAAGAAGCAATAAGAAACGTAGGTGTGATCTTACCAAACATAGCAAAGGAACAAGTCTCCATGGATGAAAAGAGAATAAGGCAGCACAAAAAAGAGTGAAAATAATTACCAATAAGCCTTTGAACGTCCCAAGTAGTAACAAGTAAGCCAGATCTGATCAAAGAAGTCTTGAGAGACCAAAAAAGATTCGATTTTTATGGCGAGATCGAAGACCCACTTCTGGAAAAGGTGTCTGATCAAGCAGGAAAGGACAGATCTGGAACCGGGAAGGCAAGGCGAGGCGAACCGTGGTGGTCCGAGGCAAAACGACGACGGCACGCGCCGGGAAAGTGGTGGCGCGTGAGTCCTATGTGCAAAGAATGCAGGTGGCGCATGAGGGCGCGTGTGGTCTCAGGCGGCGGTGGGCTTTTCACAGCAGGGTCGCCCGAATGTTGCGATGTTCTCTATGACTGATTAGAGCTCAAAAGGTCGACGAAACAGTGTTTTCCGGTGAGATCAGGTGCGGTTTGGGTATTTTGGGGGCTGTTTGGTTCGTTTTGTGACTGGGAAACGTACGTAAATGGATAGATTTGGGAAAAAGGAGCCCAAAAGCGGTCCTCTCGGTCCAAAAGGTCTCTGGAAAAATTTTCCAGTGGCGGGTGGTGGCTGCGAGAGGCAAACAAATAGGGTTCCGCTCTAAAGGCGGCAGTCGCAGAAGCAGAGCCCTCAGAATCGAGAGCTCTGATACCAAATTGGAAGTAAAAGATTGTATATTATTGAATTGTAGTAATAGTTGTACAAGAGTTCTCTATTTAAAGAGACTGAAAGATCTAATGGGCTAAGCTCAAAGACGCTTCTAGATTATTCTAGCTAATACAAATAATAAACAAATAATTCTAATATTTACAACATTAATTCTAATATTTACATGCAAACATCACATAATTTTTTTCAGTCTTTATGCAGGGGTTAGAAGACTGAGGGTGGGGAAATTAGTCGACGAAATACTTGGTTGATACACACACATAGTACCCAGACAATCATTTTCTCCTAGAATAGTCTCATTTGAAATCTGTCCCATTAAAGAACATAAATGTTTAAGAGCAACTGATTAACCAATAATGATTTCACAAGATAATCTTTTGAAACAAATAGTTCTGTTCTAAAATATCATCTTGTCCCCATTTTGCATTCCCAAAAAAAAAAAAAGAAAAAAAAAAAAACCCTTTATCTCATTGATCCATTGTATACAGTCCATATTGAAGAAGGAAAAGAAATATGTTGTACAGTGACCAAGAGTGAAAAGGACCAAAGAGAATCCAGAAAGCCTCAAACAATTAAAGTTCAGAATATTGCATTAAAACTTTTCCCACCCTCTTGCTACCAAAATAAAAAAGAAACAGCAATAAGTTTCTTAATTACTACAGCTTAAGACCAAATGTATGACAAACATTCATATGATCATTTGATAACATTTATTTGCATCTCTAAATCACCAACTTAAGTGAGGGAGCACTTTTCATAAACAAGTAATCAGCTTGCCATGTTACATTACAAGTACAAATGCATATTCTACAATAAAAAAAGGGAAGATAAATGTATATACTGAAAAGGAACCAAAAAACAATTTGCAAACCTGGTTGCGGTAAATGATGTATCCCAAACAGAAGTAGACCAAGAGAAATGGCAGTATCAGAGGAGCAAGGATGAAGTATGTTATACCAAGAAGACCAAAGAAAAGAATTCTAGGAATTTCGCTGTGGTAAGGAATTGACGGTGCCTCAAAGTCATCATCACTATCTCTAACAAAAATTCTATTTATATAATTGTAAAAAAGTGGAAACAATTGAAAGAGTTCTGAAGCTATAGTGGTCCATCCGAATGTCACAACATATGCCATGAAGAATGATGCCTGCATCAAATATGAAGTATAAAATGTGAATTGCCTATCCTCCAATTCATGCGATAATATGTTATGCAGACAATAAAAGGATTTGTTTCCTGCAAGTAAATACTTGTAATGCGAAGTGGCAGTAAATAAAAGAACTGTTTATGGACAAATGAAAAGAAAAAAAAAAAAAGGAGACAAAGGTGCCCAAAATCGAAAGAAAGCAGTCCAATCTCAACAAATCAGAAATAGAAATCCCAGAATAATATAAGACCAGTAAAAAAAATATAAAAAAATTATTTTCCATAACATGTGCAGGGGAAAATAGTTGCTCCATCAAAACACATAGAGGACAGAATAAATTGTGGATATTGTCACAAAATTTTATTCTCCTTATTCTTACAAGAACTTGAGCGCGAGCCTTGGAGCAAGGTAAGGTAGTTTCTTTGTGAACAGAAGAAGGTCACAAGTTTTTAGTTAAGGAAATAGTCTTTTTACAAAAATATAAAGATAAGGCCATGCACAATCGACCCTCATCCCTACCCTCAAAAAGTCGGGCAGTCTTATGCATTTAGATTTGCCTTTTATTTTTATCCAACTCTTCATTAATCGTATAAAAATAAACTGCAACAAACTGAAAGGGCATGATGAAATGAAATACTTTCAAAGTTTGGTTGCAAATAAATGTCTCTTGATTGTCTCAGATATCAAGAATTCACTTTATCTACATTAGAGCGTATAAAGTTGTTGCTTTAGGTGGGCAAGTTAAGAAAGATTGTGATTCAAATATGTCAGCACATTACTATTTGTAAAAGCAAGTTTACTATGCTTATTTTTTGTTCTCTGTGGATGACCAAGCGCATTAGTGTGTCTTCAAAAATATTTTAACCTTCTGTGGTAGCTTAGCTCAGAGTAAAAGCTGCCAAAAGGCACTTAGACAAGGTACTTATTCAATGGTATGTTAGAGTCAACACACTATATGCACAGACCTTTGTACTTCTTAGTGAAAAAGTTCATGGCCAGGTTAGCTTAATAATCTTCTGCTTCTTGTAAACCCTAATAAAAGCCTTTTAAAAATGTCTAGTTCCAAAACAATCAGATTCAATAGAAAGTTGCAGAGAACAAGCTGGATATAATACTACATCTTTGCATTTCTTTGACAAAATGACTGCTCTCAACGTTCAATTTGTCAATTATGCTAAAAATTATTCAGCTATTAAACTGGTTGAGATATTATATGATACTTCATTTTGAAAACAAGACCTTCGGGACATAGGCATGCATACATGGAATATTAAAAAAGAGACAGAGAACAGAAAAACACCAAATCATTGAAACTCATCTTCATTTATAAAATATTGCAGAAATTTGTGTAACTTGCAAAAAAAGTCATTGTTCTCACCTGTGCTGGTACAGCTTCAGCTAGTACTCTGGGAAACTCTCTGGGCTCAAGAAAGATAGTCAATCGATAGAGAGCTGATCCTGATAGTACATTTGCAAAGAAAATGTTCCATATGGTAAACCACAATACTTTAGTGCATGCACTTTTTTGTATCTGACTCCATGAGATGTATCCTTGCAAGGACGAAAGCATAATCATAATAGGTGGCACAAAGGAAAGAGAAACCTGAAGAATCTGAATGGGAAGGAACCCTGTTATAACTTGGCTCACAACTGCCCTGCAAACAAATATTAGGAAACTCTACTTCAGTTGCAAATTAATGGAAAGGGTGTCAGTGCTACTGATTAAGCAACAAACTATATTTTCAACTTGCAATTGCAAACTCAACAAGTCAACTTCTTGGGAAAAGAAAAGAAAAGTATTTATGTACATAAAACCATACAACACAGATTTGTGGGCCTATACATTACAAACACGAATATATTAGCTGTTGTATTAGATTTAGAAAGATTCCAAGTAGGATGAAGTATTGGAAGAAAGATAAACAGCCAATTCTCGGGGAAGAAGCTTTGCATGATAATACGAGTCATCTGGTGAAAATATTAGGTAGGAGATAACTTTGATGATAACTTCATCCAGATAAAAACTAAAAAAGGTTTGTCATTGCAACCGAGAGAACCATATAATTCAACTTTAGGAAATGCCAAACTGTAACAATACTACTAAGCTTATTTTTCTTTCATTTCAAGTGAGATTTTAAGGATTCATTCTATTCTACCTTTTAAGAACCACACCAGCAGAAGAGAATTAGAGGGAACAAAATTCAAAAAGACTGGTTTCCGTTCACTTTTCTCCTATATAAAATAAGAAAAATGAGGAAAACTACAAAGAGAGTGATGAGATTAGATGACTCCCTGGTCAGAGAAAATAATTAAAAACAGTAAAAACATGCAACAATTTTGCATACAAGAGAGGGAAACTCCTTTGAGATAAACTATGCACAGAATCTTAAAACCAGAGCTAGAATATTTACATGGAAAATTTAGGTCATATCTCTAGTCACAGTAATGTATTACATGCATTCGTGTAGGAAGGAAATTTTTGCTTTAAAAGGTGGAAATGGGAAGAAATCCTTCCTTCTTTCCCTCTCAAATCCTTCCTCAACACGATCATGAATGCTCTGATAACATATCAAGAACCATATCATTGTTAAGTGCAAGCCCATGAATGATTTTTAACTCATGATAACATCCTTCAAATTTATCAAATCAAACAAAGGAAGCATATAATCTTTCCATTTTTTTTCTCATTCTTTCGTTCCAACCCCATACAACCAGTCAAGAGTTTCCATGTTTATACCATGCTTTAATCAAAAAAGATGCTTGAAACAAATATAATGTCATTTTACACACAATCATAATAAATATAGATTACGAATCCTAGTTTCCTGCTTCTTACAAAAATAGTATAATCTTATATAGAGAAGTATTTTTTTATTTTCTTTTGACGAAAGTAGACTTTAATAGAAGACAGGAAATACAAAGCCGGAGGAACAAGAGTGATACTAAAACAGAAAATCCAGAAAAGCATCAGCCCTAGAGAGAGCTCCAATCCCTTTGAATATAATATGAAGAAATTCACTACAAAAAACCATGAGCACAGAGCCACGAAGAGGTTAGAAAAACAAGTCTATTCAAAGATGTGAATTTAAATTTGGACTGAAAATTCGTGCTTACATTTGGGCTGAAAGCAATTCTCATTTCTCATGTAATGCAAATGCACGTGTGCTTATATATTGATCTGATTCTCTAAAATGCTTAAGTAGAGGAAGATAAAATTCATCAGTTAATAATTCCAACTTACATTCTAAGTATGCCCCTCAAAGAAGGGAACATGGTTTCCAACTGATCAAGATGGGTAAGACCTTGTACTAGTGCAACTGGGATTAAAAATAGAATTGTAAGAGCATTGCAGGCAACAAAAGCCACCAGCTTGCTGATCCATCTTCTAATGAATGTGACAGAAAAGAAAGGCCAATAAACATCATGAGGTTCCGGCGCTTGCTCAGTAATCCAGTCTGTGGGATTGACACCTTCTTGAATCTTTAAAGCTATTGCAGCACCAAATCGTGACTTAAATGAGACAAAGGCAGCTGGGACTTCCTTTTAAATTGAAAGTAGTTATTAAACAAGTGGATGTATTAGATATTCAACTTAACCATGTACAAAACTTTTCAAAATACAAATCTAGTAGTCAACAGATAATTTAATGAAGAAAACAAAGGTTTTTTAAAATCAAACAAAGTCTGATTGCACTGACTAATTTGTCTATACTTGTTTTAAGTTCGGTGTTGAGTAATAAACAAGTAGATTAAATCTTATTTTCTGCCAAAACAAAGAAAGTTTTTCGGTTCAGCATATGGTTGACAGTTTTGGAAATTCATTGCCGCATACCCAAACCAAATACTTTTTTAAGGTTTTTTTATTTGTCTTTTACTTTCTTTTGGACAAATTTGGGGTAAATATTTTACTTAAACTATTGACTTAACTTCCCCCTAGATGAAGACTCCACGTGAGTGCTCTTCCCAATCTTCTGATATTCATTCCATCCTCAATTACTTTATTTTGATATTTTACTATTTAAAACACACTAATGATTTGATTTTGATTATGAACAGAACAATTTGCGACTTTGGGTTACATTTTCATTTACTGATGATTTGATTTAAATTGAGTAATTAAAAGGATAATCTAATGATTTTAAACCAATGATTTACTAATGATTTTGCTTTGTTGTTAGATAGGGTGTAAACCAAGCCAGATATTAAATAGCCTTATATCTCAAGTCTCGAAGGTTATTATTATTAATGCCTACACAATAGACATGATAGTTATTAGTTACCTTTCCTGCCACTGAAGACTGTTCTATTCTCACATTATCCGCAATGTCTCCCAATGTCTTTTCATAATGATCTAACATATCAACTTTATGCCCAAAAAGTCCAAAACATCCATCACGTCTATGCCTTTGAGGAGCGTTATTTTTATGTTTCAGTTGGGTAAGCCTTTTGTATAGTCTCTCTGCATCAGTCTACAAGGAATACAATATTAACAGTCAAAAGCACAATATAGGTAACATTGGAAGAAATAATTGAAGTTAGGTACAACCATATATTTCTAAGTTCAAATTTTCGCAAAGATACGCAATGACTGATTCAAACCCAAACCCACCTCCGTGCCTCTAAAAAATAATGGATAAATTTTTTTAAAAGAAAGAACAAAGCTATTTATGGGAAGCCTGGCAAACATCAATAAACCTAAAAATAAACCTAAAAGCTTCAGGTAGGATTCATGGAAAGCCTGTCCCAACAAACCTATAAGTGGGATGCATAACACCATTGCGTAAAACAAGTAGAAGTTAAATATGAAGGGAAAGTCAAGTCTAACTAAATATGCAGTCTAACATATACATGATCAGGTATTTTTGGCATTGTGAGAAGAAACATTATAAGTGGGAACTGAGAAAGAAACTAAATATTGTATATAACGTAGTTTAAGATCATTTATGTATTGTCTAGGCTATTTCAAATGTTTTCCTTAGGGTCTTATATCGACCCATTTCAGAAGTAGAAAGGAAAATATAGGTGCTTCGAAATTCTGCTCTCCTTGCAGATATTTGGTGTATTTTGTTGGAGTATGAATTTTTTAAATAGGCTTGTTTTCTTGACCTCTTTGTGGGTTTCAGCTCATGTGTTCTAAGGGAGTTTATTTATCCAATATGCAAAGGGAATGGTATTCTCTCACTAGGAGTTGTTCTTTTTATCTGTTTTTCTGTTCTAGTTGTTTTCTTTAATTTTAGGAGTCCTGATCTTCCATCATCGCACTTCTCTCTTAATGGATTATAGATATTCAGAATATTACTGATACGGTCCAGCCCATGAAGACTTATAAAAGGGATAAAGCTAGGAAGAGTTGTGTCCCTTTGGTTGTTTCAGGGCTGCCACATCAGCATAATGCTGTTCCTTAAAATACCCCGTAACAGAATGCAAGGCAGTTATGGCATGGTGCATGGAAGGAGGATAGTTAAAGAGGGAAAGGCACGCGAAGAGGGTCATCTGGAATATTGCTTCATCTGGAAGAGAGTGGAGCCTCTCATATTTGCTTCACACTAACTTTCTGCAATTTTATTTTCGTTCTGTTAGTTTCAGAATTGAAGTAGTACTTTCAGCTTATTTTTTCCAATTTGTGAACATCAGTATGTATGAAGACTTGGTTAATGTTGAATTGGAGAAAACTAATACAAGTCTCTGTTGAATTCTGTTTTAATTTCTTTCTTACTGAACTCTGAACCTATCATATACATTTTCAGGATTAAGAATTCGAGCCACCACAGCACAGCAATAAACAATGAAAAATTAAGCAAATGTCAAGGGAAAATATTGAATCAATTAAAACTCAAGAAAAATGCTTACAATTAGAATTTGAAGTTTGCTGCTCCGGCGGACAACCGAATGTGAAAGATAAATAGAAGGGTGATACTCCATGAAGAAGCGTTCAACAGCATCATTACAGTTGCTTCCAGGTGGAACAGGAATACCTCGTACTAATATAGTAAACTGATGAGGCTCGGGCTTGGATGAATAGAAGCAAGCAATTCTTTTTGATGAAATATACTCATACTCCTGCATAGGGTATTAACATCAATCATGGAATTCAATCACTATCTTTATAGCTTAATAGAACAGGAAAAATCTGACAGCATTGACAAAGCAAACTTGAACAATTATAACTTACATAATAAAGAAGAATGCAGACAACTCCAGTGAAAACATATGCAGCGCAAAAATGGATCCATAACCTTGAGAAAGGCCAAATCTAGCGATCAGAGTTCCCATGTTATAACTTACATACAAATCAAGTACTGAGAATCAAATTTTAAGAACACTCATGAAAAAATCTTTCATTCACACAAGTCGATGTGATTACAATAGCAGACAAATAAAATTTTGCCATCAGTGTTAGGATGGATTTGCATTATTTGGGGAAGAGCATAAGTACTTAAAATCTAGGACTTCACAATGTAAATGCATGACAATAGTAAATCAGTCTTATCATTCTTCTCAGAACTTCCTCTCCGTTCAGGGGAGGAACAGAGAGATCTGATGAAGATTTGAAACCACAATGGTAAACATTTAATGGAGAAATGAAAAAGCAAATGGGGAGTTAACTGTTGAACATAACCAGCAACCCAATGTCATTCAATGAAAATTATTTGGCACAAAATGGAGGGGTGAACCAACTGGTATGTATCATAGTATTAGATAATAAAATCAGTATACTTTGAGAATTGAAAACAATAAACCATAGAAAACAGTAATTATACCTATGAGATTATAAACCTAACGCTCTTGATACCCCAGTCTTGAAACACATTATGTTTAGCCATCAGAAAAGCTTAGAAGTGGCTGTTAAATAAGCATGATGCACCTAGAAGTTTTCACCTTGGAGCACTTAGTGATAGAGATGAACAGCTCATTCCTAATTTCTTTCAATGATTTCTTTCTAAGACTTATGCAAAACAATTTTTTTTTAAAAATGCTCAAAGGCAATTGGGAAGAGAAAAGTGGAGACAAGGGAGTAAATCAATTTATTTAGATATTTTGCAGTGGACAATCATGGTGCTGAAACTCCAAATATCAATTAGGTTTTCGTTTCAAAATTTCAAATTGTACAAGATTCAAAGATGAAGCTCTCCATAACGAACAACCTCCCATAAAGTTGGCAGACTGTACCAGAAACTGTGATGAGTCTATATATTAGTTAAAATGTTGATATATTTAATTCATCTTGTTCCGGATGGCCCAACGCCATATGGCCCAGTGGCCTAAGCCCAAACCCTTTTCCCTTATCCACGTCAGCCCTACCAACCCTCCAGCCTCTCTGCCCCCAAAGCGACTGCACTCCCTAGGTGAGACCCCAAAATGTCTCACCTTGGGATTCTAACTCCCTGGGAGACCGCCCCAAACAATATAAGTAGTAACCACCCCATCGTCATACGCTGACATCGCCAGGCATAGGGGCTGCATCACTGCTATCATAGCAGTGTCAGTCACCCCTAACTGATCCCAAGGAGGGTTGACCCCCTCTCACCAACCCACACAGGATCGACATCTCCTTCCCCTATAAATACCCCTCTCCACACACAAGGAGAGGCATCTTATGTATCGTTATTCTGCCCATATTCCTTGAGTCACATACACACATTCCCCCCCCCCCCCCCAATTATCACCCGATAGTATTCATACTTGGGACAGTCCCTCTTAGCTTGGTCTTTATCTCTGCTAGAGGTACAACCCATACAGTGACTCATCCCAGAAGGGAACATAGTGGGCTTATAGATCCCAACAGTACACATCTCAATTACCTGGTAACTACAAACAAGATTATCAATTTATGCCCAGTGGCAAAGACTACTCCAAGTCTCAAATATATATTGGAAGTATTATAAACAAACAGCAGTAGGTTAAAAGAACATATTCCATCAGATGTACTCCATAAGATAGTCACTTAATGTTCATTTTATGGAAAACATCCATAACTGGCTGGTTTCACACTTTTTAAGCACTCAGATCCTGCCATGAAAGTGAGAAGAAATTGAAGGAAGAGCATACTTTGATGTAATTCACTTAGAGATAGTAATAACATAACATATGTCTGTTCTTCTGTTAAACTCATTGCAAAGCATATCCCAACAATTCATATAAATATAACAGAGACTTTACATATTAAATGCAGTTCATCAATTTAAGAAAATGAGACTTTTCGAATTCAATGTCAAAATAGAACCAATAAATTAGCATTTCATATATGTATTGTTATTTATCATGAATAAATAATATACAAAGAGTTAAGACCACCTTGATCAATAATATTCACCTGTTTGAACCATTGTTAACATTGGAAATACTGAAGGAATCCAAAGACTTGTTTTGAAAATCAGAATCATCACGAATCTGACTCCCCATATAATTAATTGGAAGAAGAAAGAGTATCCCAACAATTCCACCAAAAGTAAATACTTTTAAACTGCACAATACCACAAAAAGAAGGGAAACAATCAGCTAAACAGTGTAAGTGCCCTTCAAGCAACAAACAGGAAGGTGACAGAAAATAGAAAGACTGATATGCATTTTAAAGAAATGCAGATAGAAAAGTAGTCAGTGGTTACAGATGGACATATTGTATCATATTGACAACAATGTTGAAATCTACTCCAAGTTAACAAATGAGCACACATCGAATTGAATTTACAACAGCGTAAAACCGATAACAAAGGAAGTCTTGTTGTGATGCAGAAACCACCTATGAATATTTACATATATGTAAGCATATATGAACATGTATAAACATAGATCCTTGATACACAGAATGCAGGAATATCTATCAAAGTGAGTAAAATAGGATTGTTAGCCAATAGAATATATTTGAGTTTAATAAGAAATTACATGATACTTCTCTAAACTTAGAATCAATTAATAACTTTAATCACCTAAAGACAAATATGCGCATGAAGACAAAAGCATCTAAGCCTGAAGTTGATAAAAATTCGTCTTCAGAGAGCTCCCATGCTTTTCTCACCCAACCAGCAGTAGGTAACAACCGTTCCAAGTTAAATTGACCACCCTCTTGAAAATTTCCTTCAGCAACTAAGCGTGGTGCATAGACAGCAATATTACCAGGCTGCTTCCTCAATATAGAGTATAAAGCGACAAATAGAAAACATAGGCTAAGGTTAATTCCAACTGAAGTTAGAAGAGCAGAAAGAATCATTATTGAGATCTGGTTCAAAACCAGCAGATCAACTCTTTGCACCCGGTAATGCAACTGTAGTCCTGAAATCAAATAGAATCGAACTCTCAATAGTTGAATCTGAATAAGGAATCTACCATTAATACATAATCTGGGACAGAATTCATATAAAGATTCTTTGTAATTACATACATGATATGAAAACTATTGTTAAATTATATTCCAGGATAGCAAGAATTATTATAATAGGATAATGACTATGTCAGTTGGTTTCTACTTGGTGTAAAGTACATGGTCTTTTTAAAGAGGTTTCCCTTACAGATATGTTGAGGGATTGAGTAACTTTACTACATTAAAAATTTTCTTTGTTCTTGGTTGTTTGTTTTTATTTTTTATTTTAAGGAAGATTTTTTATCCTCATAACTCTTTGTAATCATCTTCTCTTTGTTTTAATGCATTTCTTCTTTTATCAAAAAAGAAAAAAAATGACTATGAGAATTTGAAAATCATTAATATTTCCAAGGCTTAGCTTTGGACTCCACTACTCATCGTATTTGGTTTGATTGATGATGAACATAACGTGAAGATTCATATTATGGTATTACTGAGGAAAGTCTTTATCTAAATATTGCTGCTTCTTATCTAGGACAATTAGCAATAATCTTTCCGTAGACATTCGAGAATCTGTTTCATATAGCTTGGCAAGAAAATTTTAAGGTTGAGTAAAGGATAATCATTTACATATCCACCTAGCAAAAATCAGAGAGCGCCCTGCTCACTTCAGCTTACGGTAATAAAGAATAAATACAGTCTCGAAAAGATCATAGGTGAGTGAATAGTAGAATATGAATGCAAAAACATTGAACTCAAGCTTATGTGAATGTTCTTATATTGCATCACGCCATCATCAACTTTTGAGCCTATACAGTACACATTACGTAAGCAATACAATGGAGACTGATTTATTATATAATTTTTACTTGTATTTTACACATCCCTAAAATTATTAAGATGAAAATATAGAATATGAAAATACCAAATCAGAATGACTCAATGAGCATTATAGATGACCTTAAACAGAAAATAACGTTTATTATGATACAAACCCCAGAGTTCCTCCCTTCTTTTATCATTTCCATCTGTACGCTCCCATTCTAGCATCTTTAGAACTTTCCATCAATTCACATCCAAATGTAGAACTGTATAACGTTGATACAAGATAGCAGTTTCAGATTTCAACAGTTATGCTCAGATATATTGACAGATCAATGAAACGGATCAACATCCAAAAATTCCGTTAAAAAAAATAAGATAGAATTTCCAACAAAACACCTAAATTGTAACCATGCAATTTGGCGTAAAGGATACGTTGCTTCACAAATCTGTCAAGAATATATATATATACATATACACATACTATAGCTGAATTGGTAGATTCATAACGAAACAAAGATAATATAGTGTGAGACCAAATGATAGAAATTGAAAAGTTTGTTGAGAGAGAGAGAGAGAGAACCTGGTTATGAAGCAGGAGGACAGAGAAGCATAATTGAGTACACAGTTGCATGCAAAAAATGAATGATAAAAATACAAGGAAGGAATTTGCTTGTGAATATGATCATGGGGCCCAACAAATAAAATAAAATGCCGAGTTTCTTCTCCCTCATTTCCTGGTGGCGAACTTGAAACCCACGTCCACGTGTTATTGCCCCGTTTGTTTAGTTCGGAAAGCTTCATCATCTTTTTTATTAAATATTGAAAGGCGGTAATGATTCTACACTACATAAGTTATCTATATTTGCTTCTAAAATAATGTTATTTTGCGTTGAAAAATTAAAAAATTATAATGAAAAAGACTTTTATAATCCTAGAATAAATAATAATTACAAAATTACTTTTATTTTCGCTTTAAAACGATGTTGTTTTGAACTCAATATAAATAAATTATCTGCATTTACAATTAAAAAAAACCCATATTGAAAAGCCAATTTGAAAGGACTTCTTAATTCTTATGTGTTATTCTTCTCATGAATTTTTTTAAAAGTTAAAATTATTTTATGTCTAAAAAATATTTTATTTTGGACTCATATGATTAGCTACACGGCCAAGAGATCATGCATTTTTTTTTTTGGTAACAAGAGATCATCCATTTTATTCATTATAAGGTAGGGATAAGTTATTCTGCCGACTCCCATTTTGCCTACCTGCTTACTCCTTTGATTACTGTTCGATTACAATCTAATCCAACGGTCTATATTTGCCAAATATAATAAACCTTTTTTCCCCTTTTTTTCTCCTCACTTTCTCTCTCCTCCCCAACCAAGATTGAAAAATTCCCGTAGCCAAAATCATTGATATTTTTCTATCGCTAGGTTATTCTGCCTGCTTGGTTATTTTTGCTATCAATATACTACCAAAATATACTACAATCTCATCCTGCTAGGTTTTTTTTGCTATCGCTGCATATTCGGTATCGAGCTATCGCTAGTTCTTTGGCTGGGAAAACCGTGGGCATTTCTTGAAGAATCTTATTTGCGTTTCATAATATTTTATGAATAATAGCCTTAAAAGAAATGTAGTTTGTGAATCCCTAATTACCCAATTCTTTGATATATTGCTCCCAATTTCGCGAAGCTCTCGATTCAAACTGGATGAGAAGTTGAGTTCTTTGATATATTTTCAAAACCATTAATCCATACACGATAATAGTGGATTAATTCAAAGGAACGGATTCAAGGACAGATTCGTCGAGAAAGAGAGAAAGGAGAGGAGAGAGAAAGAATTTGGGAGGAAGTGAAGGATAAAAGTTTATTTTATTTGACAAATATGGACCATTGGATTAGATTGTAATCGAATGGTAATCAAAGGGGTAGGTAAAGGTAGACAAAATGAGAGTAGGCAGAATAACCTATCCCTATAAGGTATGTACATAAAGAATTAGTCCAAGACATGTTAGGTGTGACCACACTCGTTTGAGCATGGTCTTGTTGGAGTCTAAAGTAAGATTGTAACTGGATCTGGTGTGATACAGTGTGAAATGTTTCCGCCGGATGGTTGCACTAATGCTTGAGACCAGTGTTTTAAAATCTCACCCCGCTCCCGGGTCGATTCGGGTAAATCATGACCCCTCCTCTTTGAGGGTTGGGGTCACAAGTTGGACCCTACCGACTCCCAAAACACGGTCGGGTTTCAGTGACTCCCCGGACAGATGGGTCAAAAGGGGTCACTGCATGTTTTTTTTAATTCCATGAAACAACATCATTTTATTAAAAAAAATGCTTGCAAACTTAAATCTAATCGTTCTCTTCTCTCCCAGCGACCTAGACGTCTTCAATCTTCACCTCGCTGCCGTGAATCTTCTAGAAAAGGTAAAAAATTTACCCATTCAAATGAAATCCTTACGGTCGTCGATGGAAAACAAAAACTCATTCTTACTTTTTTTTTGGTGAAACATTCTTACTTCCTTTAAATTTTCCTTTGTCAAGGACCTTCTCAAAAGAGGCAGAACCGAGTCAGCGTAGTGATCCCATTAGAATATGAGTTTTGTACTTTGATATCTTGATACTTTAATTAGGTTGTGTAATATTGACTTGTAGTTGTAATTGGTGAATTATGTTAAGTATATTTTGAATCTTTGATGATTGATGGTTTGTTTTCTAATATTTTCATATAGGATATATATATTTCTATTTTTTTAATATATAAAAATGGGTCAGCGTAGTGACCTCATGACCCCCGATTGAATCCGTGACTCCGTGATCCCTGACCTCGGCCGGGCTGGGTTTTTAAACACTGCTTGAGACCTTTGCTCGATGGAGACAGGTGGGAAGAAATACTTGCAAGACACTTTCACGCTCAAATTAATGTTTGATTAATAAGTTCTAGTAATAATGGAGAAGATGATCAACAATGGCATAACATACTTCTGCCACCTTAGTATGGTGGTATATAATCTTATTGTTGGGTTCAGGTGGTTTCTGCAGCTTATTTCGTTCGTGGAATGCTTGATTGTTGGCTATGTTATGTAGATCTAGCTCAAACTTTGTGTTTGTTCTTTCAGTCATTGGCGTTTAAGACCTAGGAGTTTGGTGCTGCTATCACCCCAAATGTGTATTTGGGTGACGTGTATGTGGAATAAACATGCTTCCTTGCTTCTTTAATCTTTATTATTGGGCTTCTAGGGCTGTTTAATGAGTTGGATCATTTATCTTGCTTAATATAGGTCCATATCATAATTCAACCATTAAAAGTTAAATTAATTTTGCTTTGGTTATAAAAGTATTTGAACATCTCTAATATCACTACTTGCGGTAAAATAACTAAATAATATTAAAAAAGGCATGGATGTACATAGGTAAAACGAGTTTTTAGCAGTTTATGGCCTAGTTTAGGTTAGCTCAAAATTTGATTAGTATATATATATGGATTTTATAACTCTAATTATCCTTTTGGATGGAATCAGGTCTAACCCAAGAAAGATGCCCGCCCAAGTTTGAGATTAATCTCGAGTCAAATAATATGACAATTATATAGCTCTGTCCTCAAAATGTCCACTCCTAAGACTAGTGCTCTTTCGATAGTTGTCCGTCCTAAGACTAATATTGCCACTTGATCCATCCTTTAGGGTTTGCCTATATTCTGTAAAATAGCTCTGACATTTAAAAAAGGGAAAAAATATTTTCGCAGTTAATGTAGAGAAGTTATCTGCATTTATTTTCAAAACGACGTCGTTTTGGTATTGAAATCTTAAAAAATTATAAATATAAAGACTATTATAACCCTAAAATAAATTAAAATTACAAAAACACCATGATTTCCGTCCCAAAACGACGTCGTATTGGCTTACTGCAGATAACTTATCTGCAGTAACTACAGAAAAAGTGAACCCTTTAAAAAATCACATTTAAAAACAAATCATATGCCTGCTTTTATAGGAAATGGATCATCTCATATTTTATTTAACATAACATATATGATCATGTGGGGAATCATAATCATACAAAGGTGAATCAAAGGTAATGATTTTGTAACTATCTATTCCAAAAATTTTCTCTATCTTCCTTTATCACCATTGATTCGCCTTTGTATGTTTATTAGGAGTGCTAAACAAACCAGGAGTCTTTCAGGGGCCTTAAGCTCGGCTCGTAAAGACTTGGGCTTACAGCTCTAAAATTGATTGTTGGAACCAGGATTGAACTTGTATAAAAGCTCGTTTAATAAAAAGGCCCTCAGGCTCTAATTGAAAAGCTCGGCCTCAAAGCCTTTCAGGCTGGCCTAGTATACTAACTTTTATTTTTATTTTATATTTTTTATACTATTCATAATAACTCTCTCTCCTCAACCCATTTCACCTCATTTTATTGATTAAACAATTTTTTCGAATATTTTTGTTCTATATTATGCTTTTTGGATATACATTGAATTTATGAATCTTTGTGAAGTTATTAGTGTTGTTGATCATATATTTTGTTTGAATAAATTTTTGTTATCTTATTTTTTTTAAACAGGCTAAATAAGACTTTATGTTTTTATAAATAAGACAGGCCACATGCCGATAATTATATTCATAACAGGTAACGGGCTAGGTCAGGTTGACACATTTAAACATAGGCTTAGCCTTTTAAGACCAAAGCTCAGCTCAGCTCGGCCTGTTAACACCACTAATGTTTATGATTCCTCAGCATTACTATGTCATGTTAAATAAGACATGAGAGTATCCACTCCCATTTTTATAAGACCTAACCTATAAGTTTATAGACCAGCTTATATTATATTATTTATATAAAATAAAATTATTATTTAAATAATATTTTTAATTTTTATTTTTAATTTTTATATGCTTTGAAGATTGGAAAGGCCTTATTCATTTATAAATATAGGTCAGATCAAATCTATAATTTAGCATATATCAAGTAATAGGTTATAAGACCCAAAATATATTACATAAATTTAATCTATTTAGATTAAAATCCAGCCTAATCCAACTCAACTCATTTATGCCTCTATAAAAAAATTATCTATTTTTAAAAGTATTTTTACATATATTGTTTGCTTATTTGATTTTCTGTCCTTTGGTTTAAGATTTTTTTAATATTAGATACTTGAAATTTTTATTTACATATTTTGCTATAACCAGTTTTTTTGTACTTCTATTGTCTATCAAATTGTTCAGTATATGTAGCATTATTGTCATTTTTAATAATAATACAATAATATACTAGCAGTAAGTATTTTGTGTATAAATAAATATTTTTAAATTAAAAATTTTAAAAATGTAAAATGAAATAATTTTTTTAAATTCATAAAATAAATACATATAACTAATGAACATGAAACTTAAAAAATTAGATTATAATTATTTGAAAATTATTAAAAATACATACGATTAATTAAAACATTTTAATCTTAATTTTTTGTAAAAAAGACAGAGATGGCACGTGTTATTTAAAAAAACAGAGATGTTACTTTTATGGGTAAATGATTTCTCGAGGAGATAAGTTCTCTCCTGAGTCTAAAATAATGTCGTTTTGAGACAAAAATTAAGGTATTTTTGTAATTGTAACATATTGTAGGGTTATATTAGTTTTCATTATTATAATTTTTTAATCTTATAACCTCAAAATGACGTCGTTTTGAGCTCACTGGAGATAACTTTATCTCCGGTGACGGGAGAAATACTTTTGCCTACTAATATATATATATATATATATATATATATATATATATATATGTCTATATATATATATATATATATGTGGCAAAATGATTTGTAATGTGACTGCACATAAACATTGGTGCAGTCACCTAAAAAATATGTCATTTTTTGTGGAATAAAAGAAGTTTCACGTTTAAAATTAACGGTAGAAAATAGAAATATTATTTTTTTTTTGGTGAAAAGAAATATTATATTTAATTCTACATTTGTATGGTTATGATTCTCATATTTAATATTTTATATTTATTTTTACTTTTGTATAATTATGATTTCCAATATTTAATGCTTTTACACTATAAAACCACCTAGTTTTATATGACTCCACCAATCCTTAGGTGCAGTCACTGTATAACCGCTAAATCCTATGTATATATATGGTATAGGATTTCTCCAGTCAATGGAGATAAGCTATCTCTAGTGAGCCCAAAACGACGTCGTTTTGGGACGAAAATCAAGGTATTTTTGTAATTATAATATATTGCAGAGTTATATTAGTCTTTATAATTATAATTTTTTAATCTTATAACCTCAAAACGACGTCGTTTTAAGCTCACTGGAGATAACTTTTTCTCCGGTAACTAGAGAAATACTTTTCCCATATATATATATGGGGAAAGATATTGTGACAACTAAGTTGTGTTACTACCAAGTAACTACCAATCAATCTCACCGTTAGATCGATTATGTGGATCCAACGGTTATATTTATTTTCATCTTTGTATGGTCATGATTTCCCATATTTAAAGTGAAAACATTAAATATGGGAAATCATGACCATACAAAGGTGAAAATAAATATAAAGTATTAAATTTGGGAAATCATGACCATAAAAAGATGGAAATAAATATAACCGTTGGATCAATATAATCGATCTAACGGTAAGATTGATTGGTAGTCACTTGGTAGTAACACAACTTGGTTGTCACAATATCCTTCCCTATATATATATATATATATATATATATATATATATATATAGGGCTTAACATTTCTGCAGCCGCCGTAGATAACACTCTCTACAGCTGACAGAGAAAAGTGGGCCGCACGGCGTTTTACAAAATAAAAATAAAAATAAAGATCCGTTGCCGTATCCTAAGATCCGCACACTGATCCTGGCTAGCTGTAGGTACAGCAGCTGCATAAATCATTTTGCCATACAGGGCTTAACATTTCTGCAGTCGCCGTAGATAACACTCTCTACAGCTGACACAGAAAAGTGGGCCTCACGGCGTTTTACAAAAAAAAAAAAAAAACAAGGATCCGTTGCCGTATCCTAAGATCCGCACACTGATCCTGGCTAGCTGTAGGTACAACAGCTGCAGAAATCATTTTGCCATATATATATATATATATATATATATATATATATATATATATATATATATATATATATATATATGAAATAATATTGTAAAAAAACGATACAACGTGGAGACATCAAATATTATTCGTGTCCTCTTGATATGCATTCACAGTGGAAAGCAGCGGGAATAATGCATATTTTGCCACAACGAAAGAACATGCAGTTATCAATATCATCGTCATCGTCCACTACATTGCCTGCGCTGTCGTTTTGATACTTTCAACCAAACGGAAAACAAAACGCCGCTCTTTTGTGTGACTTAGCCACCGTTCTCCGCTCAATTTTCCGGCTGCTCCGGCCATCTCAGGTGCATGCTCAATTTCACCTTTCTCTCTTGTTATTATTCGTGACCGATCATGCATGTGTCCTTATTTTATTCAACGAATTAGGGTTTATCTTTTGCTAATTTTCGATCAGAAGGTTCTAGATTCCTTTTTTCGTTTACTGAATTCGGTACATTTTTAATAATTTTGGTCAGCATTAAAATTTTCGTTGTTGATCGTGAATTGAACAGAGGGCGTAGAAGGTTCAGGAGAAGATGAGTAACGTGTTTGAGGGGTATGAACGCCAGTACTGTGAGCTTTCTGCTAATCTATCAAAAATATGCACTGCAGCTGGTGCTCTCAATGGAGGTAGTTGAAATTCTTCTTTATCTTTTTTTTTTGTACAATTTTAAATTTTCAATGAGATTGGTTATGTGTTGTTGGTGCTTCTCGGTTCAGTCATCTTCTTTCTTTATTTCTATTGTCTAATTCTTAATTTGATAAGCTATGTTGCATATTTAGTCAGTAATTATGATCATTTTCAAACTCATTAACGATGTGTCAGTACATGAGTGGAGAATAAAGTAAATGTTTTACTATGCATCAAAAGTAAATTATTTATTTATTGCGTTATTTAACCTATTTTTGGCTTCTTTTTTTTAAAATGGTCAAAATGTTTTCTATATAAGAGAAATTGATTAATGTTAGTAATCTAAATCATTAATGAGCCTTCATCTAGACAACTTCAGCTTTTGGGAGAGCTAGTATAGTTAAATTGCTCAAATTTGTTAATGCTCCTATGTCTACCATACGAATCAGTTCCCTTTCATCTAATGGCGCATTGCTCTTTTCTACGGAAAACACATTGATGTATCTAGCTCCTGGAGTAGAAATTTCCTTTAAAACATTTTTCCTCATGTACCAAATTAGATTTGGTATGTCAAGCAAGGTTCGGTTCCTCCTCTCCGACACACCATTCTGATGAGGTGTGTATGGAGCCATCAACTCTTAGTGAATCCCTGTTAATTTTCAATGACTCCCACCTCCTACTAGTTTTCTGTGGTCCTGTAGACACGAGTGTCAATTTCTTTTTGTTTTTTGTTGTTTTTTTCTTTAAAAGAAGAAAAGAAAAGGTTCCTGCTAGATGCCTATAAGCAAAAAGTATAAAGTTGGCATAGGAGGCAATGTCTTACTAATGTGTTAAAATTGGAATCTCTATTGTTCCATTTAGTAGTTCATGTAGTTGTTGCTCTTCTGAATTGGAGCAAAACTGAATTCTGTGGGCTTCTAACTTTGAGATATTATATAGGTTATTCTTTCAAATGCATGCTTCTTTTTCTTAATGTTTGATGCCCCTCCTCATTTTTATTCTTTTCGTTAGTTGAATGTGTTAGAATATTAGATATGATATGATTAGATATGATTGGATTCTGTCTTATCTCTAAATAGTCTGACTGTATTCTGACTGTATTAGGATTAGGTTTGGGCCTTACACTTAAGCCCATTAGGGTCTCTATATATTGTAACTCCCTGACACAGGTCAATACACAACGTATTCTTTTACATTTAACTTGGTACCAGAGCTATTTCGTTCTGGGAACCCTCGCTTCCGCTTAGACATCTTGTTCTTCGCTTTAAAACCAAGCCCACTGCTTAGGAGTCATCTTTTCTTTGCCGTGCGTCCTTCCGGCAAGACATCAAGGACTGTAAGTCCTCTCCAGGCATCTTCTGCACGTGTCCACATCCTCAAACAGTCACCGGAGCCACCATCAGCCACCGTCAGCCACTGTTCAGGCTGCCGGAGTACTTTTCCGGCGAGTTTTCAGTCTGGAACGAACGCGAACAGAACCCTCTCCTCCCGGCGACCTGCTCTGTGGAAGTCCGGCCACCATCGGAGTTGTCACGCGCTCTCACGCGCCTCCAGTCTTCTCTGCGCGTGGGCTTCACGCGCCACCTTCTGCCGGTGCGTGAGCACTATTCCGGCGGCTTTTTCCGGCCGGTCTTGGACAGAGAAGCTCGTCTTCTCCTCCTCTTTCTGGATCTGTGGTTGGTTCTTTGTGGGTCTGACTTTTTGTGCGCACCTCTTCTTGATTGGTGATCAGGTTCGTTTCTCTTTATTCGGTTTGTATCTTTGTGATTTAATACTATGGCAGCAAACCCTCCAATTCATTCGGAGGTCAAGTCTCCATCTCCTCCTGTGAGAAATTCTCCCAATATCATCTCTACCAATATTGGGTCCATTACCTCTTCAATATTGAAGGGATCTGTTAATTACAAGAACTGGGCCATCTCTGTTCGAGTTTGGTTATTTGGACAAGGATATGGGAACCATCTCACGACTAAGTCTACTGATGTCCCTAAGGAGGACAAGTCTGATTGGGAAAAGATTGACAACCAGCTTCTGAGTATCCTCTGGCAATCCATTGATCCGATCGTCTTGGATATCTTTTATTCCTTTCAAACTTGCACTGAAGTATGGGAGGAAGCAAAAACCTCTACACTAATGATGTTCAGCAACTCTATTTCATCATCTCCCAGTTTATGGAATTGAGCAAATCATCCAACATTCAGATGAAGACATATATTGGCAAGAGTCGCTCTTTGATGCAGGCATATTTGGATATGCTGCCTTACCCTACTGATGCTACTGCATATCGGAAACAGGTGGAACGTCTCTGTATGGTTGCCACACTTTCTGGCCTTCCCGAAGAATATGATAATGTCCGTGATACTATCTTGACTAGTGGGGAGCCTGATCTATCCATGACGTATCAGCGTCTTCTGAATTTGAATAAGAAATCTGCTCCTGCATCGTCTTCTGCTGTTGATTCTACTGCTCTAGTTTCCCGTACTGATTTTCGCGGGAATATTGGAGGTGGACGTGGTCGTGGTAGAGGCCCAGGAGGCCCAGGAGGTCCAGTCGAACGTGGTCAGCGACCTCGTTGTCATTACTGTCAGCAACTTGGTCATTATGAGGAACGCTGCTACACAAAGTATCCTCACATGCGACCTTCTTTTGCTGCTAATATAGCTCAATCGGATACTGCTTCAAATGGTACAGTCTCTCTCTCCTCTGAAGAATATGTAGCATTCCAAGCCCTTCTCAGGAAGTCTTCTCCTCAATCTCAGGCCTCCGCTTCAGAAACTGGTAATCCTGTTGCTTGTGTTTCTCATTCTGCATCACTTGGTCCTTGGATATTTGACTCATGTGCTACTGATCACCTCTGTGGTAATAAGGAACTCTTTTCTTCCCTTACATATTCTGAAAATTTACCCTCTTTTACTCTTGCTGATGGAACTAAGGCCCCCCCGTTCATGGGATTGGACAAATCTGTCCAACCTCCTCATTGACCTTGACATCTGTCTATTACATTCCTCACATCCCTTATAACTTAATATCGGTTAGTAAATTGATCAATTCTCTTAATTGTATTGTCACATTCTCAAACCAATCTGTTTTTGTGCAGGACCCGGGTACGGGGAAAATGATTGGAGAGGGCCGTGAGTCACGGGGTCTGTTCTACCTTGATGTGCCGAGTCCTTCAGTTGCTTGTTCTCTCACAGAATCTCCACAACTCATCCACAGTCGTCTTGGGCATCCTAGTCTTGCGAAATTGCAGAAGATGGTTCCTCTTTTATCCGGTCTTCAAACTTTAGATTGTCAGTCATGTCAGCAAGGAAAGCACATCCGCTCCTCCTTTGCTAATCGTGTCAATAAGCGAGCTGATGCTCCTTTTTCAATTATTCATTCAGATGTTTGGGGTCCTAGTCGAAGTGTGTCTGTTTTAGGGTTTCGGTATTTTGTTACCTTTATTGATGATTTCTCCCGTTGTACTTGGATTTATTTAATGAAAAACCGTTCTGAGTTGTTTTCTATTGATCAAAGGTTTTCTGCTGAAATTTATACTCAATTTGGTGCTTCTATTCGTATTTTACGTAGTGATAATGCTAAGGAATATATTTCTGTTGACTTTTCTCATTTCTTAGCCACACAGGGTACTTTACTCCAAACCACTTGTCCTCACACTCCACAACAAAATGGAGTAGCTGAACGTAAGAATAGACATCTCATTGAGATTGCCAGGACTCTTCTTATTCACATGCATGTTCCTCTTCACTTCTGGGCTGATGCAGTCCTTGCTTCTTGCTTTCTCATCAACCGCATGCCTTCATCTGTGCTTAATAATGATATTCCTCATAACTTATTGTTTCCGGATGTTCCTCTCTTTCCTCTATCCCCACATGTTTTTGGTTGTACCTGTTTTGTTCATGATCTCACTCCTGGTAAGGATAAGTTAACATCCAAAGCCTTTAAATGCATTTTTCTGGGTTATTCTCGTCTTCAAAAGGGTTATCGCTGTTACTCTCATGATCTCAAGCGTTACTTAGTTTCCGCTGATGTCACCTTTCTTGATCAACAACCCTTTAATTCTATCTCATCTCCATTGTCACAGGTTGATCATGTTCTTCGTGTTCCTTTTCTTAACTTGTCTTTGCCAGATGCAGGTGCTTCTACTCCAGATAAGCAATCACCTATTGCTCCAGTACCTGAGAACCGTCCACTTCTCACTTATCAGCGTCGTAACACAGTACCTCCAGTCGACTCGACCTCTGCTGACTCATTGCCCCCTGCAGTTGATTCTTCCCCTCCGGATCCTTCACCAGAGGCTCTTCCCATTGCTCAAAGAAAAGGTACACGTACTACTCGTAACCCTTATCCTCTTTATACCTTCTTGAGCTATGATCGTCTTTCTCCTCCTCATTTCACCTTTGTTTCTAGTCTTTCTTCTGTTTCTATTCCTAAGACCACAGGTGAAGCACTTTGCCATCCAGGATGGCGCCAAACGATGCTTGATGAGATGACCGCACTTCATACCAATGGCACTTGGGACCTTGTTTCTGCTCCTCCAGAGAAGTCTATAGTTGGTTGTCGCTGGGTGTTTACTGTGAAAGTTGGACCTGATGGCCATGTTGGTCGTCTCAAGGCACGCCTAGTTGCCAAGGGTTTTACTCAAATATTTGGTCTTGATTATAGCGATACATTCTCTCCAGTCGCTAAGATGGCGTCCGTCCGCCTATTTCTTGCCCTTGCTTCTGTTCGTCACTGACCACTCCTTCAACTTGACATCAAAAATGCCTTTCTTCATGGTGATTTACAAGAAGAAGTTTACATGGAGCAACCACCTGGTTTTGTTGCTCAGGGGGAGTCTGGGAAGGTATGTCGTCTTCGAAAATCCTTATATGGTCTCAAGCAGTCTCCTCGAGCATGGTTCAGTCGCTTTAGTTCTGCTGTACAGGCGTTTGGCCTAATTCGCAGTAAAGTTGACCATTATGTATTCTATAGGATTACATCTCCTAACAAGTGCATCTATTTGTTAGTCTATGTTGATGACATCATCATCACCGGAAGTGATCAAGACGGAATCCGTCAGTTAAAACAACATTTATTCAGTGCATTTCAAACAAAAGACCTTGGGAAGCTGCGTTACTTCTTGGGAATTGAGGTGGCGCAATCTAGACAGGGCATTTCTATCTGTCAAAGGAAGTATGCCTTGGATATCCTAGAAGAGACTGGTATGTTGGGGTGTAAACCAGTTGATACACCCATGGATCCTAATGTTAAGTTATTGCCCAGACAAGGGGAGCCGTTATCTGATCCTGGACGTTATCGAAGGCTGATTGGGAAGCTCAATTATCTTACTGTGACTAGGCCAGATATTTCTTTCGCTGTCAGCACGGCTAGTCAGTTCCTTGATTCCCCTTGTAATTCACATTGGGATGCTGCTGTGAGGATCCTCCGATACATCAAAGGAGCACCAGGAAAAGGTTTGTTGTATTCGGATCAGGGAAATACAGAAATTTGTGGTTACTCAGATGCCGATTGGGCAGGATCACCCTCGGACAGACGCTCTACTTCTGGTTATTGTGTCTTCTTCGGAGGAAACTTAATCTCATGGAAAAGCAAGAAACAACCTGTTGTTTCCCGATCTAGTGCAGAAGCTGAGTATCGTGCAATGGCAAATACTACCTGTGAGTTGATCTGGTTAAAGCAGTTGATTCAGGAGCTTCATCTTTGTGAACAGAAACAACCCATGACACTCATCTGTGATAATCAAGTTGCTCTACATATATCCTCTAATCCTGTTTGTCATGAGAGGACCAAACATATAGAGATTGATTGTCACTTCATTCGGGAAAAGATCCAGTCAGGAGAAATCAAGACAGCTTTTGTCAACTCGTCTAATCAACTAGCAGATGTTTTCACTAAAGCTCTTAGAGGTCCTCGGGTTGAATACATTTGTAACAAGCTTGGTGCTCATAATATATACGCACCAGCTTGAGGGGGAGTGTTAGAATATTAGATATGATATGATTAGATATGATTGGATTCTGTCTTATCTGTAAATAGTCTGACTGTATTCTGACTGTATTAGGATTATGTTTGGGCCTTACACTTAAGCCCATTAGGGTCTCTATATATTGTAACTCCCTGACACAGGTCAATACACAACGTATTCTTTTACATTTAACTGAATGGGTACTGGGTGGGGGAGTACTAATAATAATGGAATACTAATACTGATTTTATGAGACAAGGGCGGGCATTTGGCTTACTGGAAAATGCAATGGATCATTTAAATATTCGTCATAGAATGTCTAAACTTAAAAACAACAAACCATTTAATTTTTTATCAAGAAAAGAGAAATTATTGAAGCTTATGATTTCATGCTGGAGCAATATGTACTCTATTGTAATTTGTATCTTTTCTGTTCAAACTGCAGAACAAAAGAAGCAAAAAATTTCAGAAATAAAGGCTGGAATTGATGAGGCAGAAGCTATGGTACCCTCATTACTTTTTTTCTTCTTGTTGTAAAGCTGCCTTCCTTTCTTCTGTATTCTGGGGTTCTGATATGGTTGTGCTTTTTAATTTGTAGATTCGAAAAATGGACCTTGAGGCGAGAAGTTTGCAGCCAAACATTAAGGCTGTGCTTCTTGCTAAATTGCGGGAATACAAATCTGATCTTAACAATATTAAAAGCGAAGTTAAGAAAATTGTATCTGGTAACTTAAACCCTTCTGCACGGGATGAGTTGTTGGAATCAGGAATGGCAGATGCTATGACGGTACATTCAATTTTTATTTTAACAACCTTTACTGATGCTCAAGGACAATTCATTGTCCTGTGAAACCATTACGAGGCAAACATTTGATCTTTCTTTTTCTTTATAGTTATATACCCTTTTTCGTAAAACTAATTGGTTAAATAAAGGCTTACTGTTGCTGACGGAGCTTTTTCTTTTCAAGTAATCCGTGATGTTGCTACATTAACATTACTAATCCTTTAGCTATGGCTAACAAAAGTTCAGTTGAGATCACATTGTAGCTGTTCCATAAATTAAAGAACTGCTTTGAAGCTGTTTGAATGGGATGGACAGAGATGAAATCCAGATTAGAATATGTGGACTGAAATGATACTTAACCCTTATTGACAAATAAGCAATTTGTCCAAATTTATTTATTTTTATGTTTTACATTTTGTTTTTGTTTTTTTTATATTTTCATTTGTTGAATAGGTTGGTGAGTGTGGACTTGCTTGAAATCCAATCTTTATGGAGATACAGCAATATGGATCCCTTTCATTAAGGATGGAACAAAGTGAATGAAGCTTAGGCTATCATCTTCACTGAAATATAAATATAATGCTGTATGGTTTCAACTTTTAAGGCTATAATACCTTCGGAGAGAGAAATAGAAGCAATCTAGTAATGTATATAAATTGTAAATCGCTGGTTGCATTGTATTTTTGCTATTGGATATCTCCTAGTGAAGCAGACAGAACAAAAATATATACCTTTTTAAGGGTAAATGTAAGATTTATTGTCTGGAAAAGAGTATTGACATTTAAGAACAGTAGTCACGGATTAGAATAAATTTTTTGTCTTTTTGTGAATTATATTTAAGTAACTTAACAATTTAAATGAAGAATTACAGCTTAAATACAATTCTAATTTAGATGAGATTAGGATAAGGGTAGGTAGATGATTTTTTTAAATTAATCTTTTAAGAGATATTTCATTAGAAAACATTAAGAATTAAAGTTTTCATACGATGACACATATACCTTTCTGCCACCAACAATAACTGCAACAGGTGTCATTATTTGTTGCACAAAATGGTGATAACTTAAGCCCTAGTTTTGCAAATGGCATTTCTACTTCTGGTTTCCTGATTTTGAGATTGATTGAGTAGATTCAATCTTCATTTCTAAACACTCATGTTTCTTGGATTGTCACTGCCAAATCTGATGCCTACTGGTAATGTGACTACAATAGGCTTCAGCTGATCAAAGAGAAAGGTTAATGATGTCAACTGAGAGGTTGAACAAGTCTGGTGACAGAATCAAGGACAGTAGGAGAACAATGTTGGAAACAGAAGAGCTTGGGGTTTCGATTCTTCAAGATTTGCATTCTCAGCGACAATCTCTACTGCACGGACATGACACAGTAATGTTTTTCTCTTCCTTGCTTAACTTACGATTCACTTTCCTATAATCATAACTTCAGTATGCAGAATCTCTTTGACTTGTACCTTTGGACTTTTGAGTAATGCTGGAAATTGGTTATGGATTTTATCTTTCTAATTTTTCTATACTTTCCAACTCGTGTAGCATTTGTAGATTGTGTTTCTTCTATTTTATGCATTTTCAGCATTTGGGTTTATTGATATCAATTCATTTTGTTCTTGAAAATTTAAATGAAAATGTAAACTGTTTATAATGGTAGTGGTGAAAATATATGCTATTTGGTCTACTCATGGTTATGTTCCCTCATGCAGCTTCATGGAGTCGATGATAATATAGGCAAGAGCAAGAAAATTTTGTCCAACATGTCAAGAAGGATGAACAGGAACAAGTGCGTTACTATCATCATTGTTATGGTCCTAGTTCTTGCTATCATCTTGATTCTGTACTTCAAACTTTTTAAATAGCCAGTAGCAGATCTTTTCTCCTATTGGTTCATAAATATCGTCAAGATACAAGGCTTTTTATATTATTTTCCTTGTTTCCTTGCTTATTTTTTATTCTCTGGTTTGTGCAGTGATGCAAGCTAATTTGACAGTGTTTGCTTCTTTAAATGTGTGGTGTGTCTTATGCTGGCTTTGTTATGTATGAAAATTTGATTTCTTTCTTATGATCAGTTATTGCATGAAGTTTATATGAACTACACTGCCTAGTGGTTATGCTGTTCAATTTTAAATGAAAATTGGCTCTAATCCGTTGGTGTCTACAATCCTCTCTATAGGTAACCCAACTCATCCTTTGGGAACATTGATGTATGGAAATCGCTATCGTATTGTCGTGGACGAAACCTATAACTTCCTTACAGACCGAAAAACATGTTCGACTAAGCTTGGAAGTGTTTTTTATTTTTTATTATATTGTATAACGTTAATTTCATCATCATTTGAAGCCAACAACTTTTGTCTGTAACTTTTGAGACAGAATAGGTAACTGCATATAATTTGATTTCTATCACCTCACTTGCTATTTTCATTGTATGATCTGGTCTGTTATTTCAATACTCTTAAGAAATCTTCTGACAGCGCTAAGATAATGAATCTAACAGCAGTATTAGAATGACACTTTTCGAAAATGTCAAATTCCAAAGCTTATTTTTTCCTCCTTTGTTTCCTCAATTGCCAAATCTGTCCTACTCCTAATTGATACAAAAAAAAAAATGTGCAAAATTATGAAATTATTTTCACTTTCCATCACTTCTATTTTACTGCGTGATAATGTTTCTAGATATTAATACATGGTCACAAAGAAGTGGGTCACAGAATACTACGATGAAGGAAATATTGAATACTATTTCTAAAAACAGTTTTTTTGGTTTAAAATTAAATTTATAAAACATGTCTGAGTTTTTGTTTTACATTATGACTTTTAACTTTCAATTGTTTTACGTTTTGACTTTTAATTTTCAAAATAAAAAAACACAAAAAACACTTATTTCTATGACTATTCTACGAAACAGTCTTAAAAACAAAAAAATCAAAACACAATCAAACGGATCATAATCTCCTACGAAATTTCATACAGGAAAAAGTAAAATTTATTATTTGCGGTTCATCACAAGCATTTAACAGAGACACAAATATAACACCCTTTCATAAGCGGACAGAAAAGACATTAAGCATGGAGGCTGTGTGATTAACTGCATGGAACATTCTCACAAAGTGTCTCAGTAATTTCTAAGCAGAATATGGAATTCTCAAGGCCATTCTTTGAGCAAGCCAAGGTTTATCTGGTTCTGGGTCAATGAAAGGATGCATGAGGAACTGATCTGCTTCTTCATCCACCAATTCTCTAGACCATGTTACTCGTTTGGATGGACAGCAACCAGGTCCAAAACACCTGTAGTTATGATCAAGTTACTTCAAACTTCTTGAACTCAATAAACAGGAAATTTTTCTTGAAGGAAAGTAAAAAGTGTTTCTATTAAATATGTAGGCCAAAAACAGGATTATAAGCTAAACCAACCTGTATTCCTACCCCCAAGTGAAAATTTTAAGGGTAAAAAATGATTTTTTTTAATGGTTTATATATTTATTATTTTAATAGAATATTATTATTTTAATACAAAAAGTAGCACTTTGCTTAGGGGAAGATCAACACCTTGGGGTGGGATAGAAGCTACCACTTAGCATATTCATGATACTAGTACAATTGTAGAACACAATGCATTCAAATCAAACTTCTTAATTTTGTATCTTCTAGCAATATTGAAGCAGTTAAATATCTGAAATCAACCTACATTTTAATGGTTGCAGTAACCTAGAGCTATTTCATACAAAAAAACACCTGCAAAGCATTAAACAGTGAAAAATGGAATCTGACATGAAATACCTGTATTCATAAAAGCAAGCGCTTCTTTCATTCTCAATTTTCCCCCAGTTATCCCAGCCAACATGCCTTATACATGGATCCATATAAGTGTACGCAAAGATCACCCTTCCAAAAGGTCCCCATGGTCGTCCAAGATATGCATATGAATTTCCTCCATTACCTGTGATAACACATCTGCAAATGGCACCGGAGATCATTCAAACGTAAAATACTAAGAAAATAAGGAACCAAAAGGTCCAGAACATAAAGAAAGTTCCCCTGAACAAGGAGGACTACAACTATTAAGTTACAGGAAGTGAAGGCCTACATGATTTTATTTGTAAACCAATTTAAAAAGAAATATAAGAACAGCACATCTATTCATAACTCATAAGTATCCCTATATAACAAAATACCAAGTCTCACAGGACTTGTAAGTTGGAAAAGTATCATCGACACATCAAGCAGACAACATTATGCAAAGGTGAAAAATAAGAAATTGGCTAGGATGCAGTTATGTTGATTAAGAATAGAGAAACAAAATAAGGCAGTATTAAATGATACTAAGGGATTAGTAAGAGATTATAATTTATAAGACTTAAAGGGTGGGGTTATTGATTCTCTCATTTGCCTATTCACATTCTCCATTGACTACTTGTAATTTTAATTTCCTAATTTGCTCTCAATAAAAAAATTTATTCAAGTCAAACCCAATTTATATTCTTATTTATTTATTCACATTTAATTGAGGATAACTTAGAAAATAGAAATTAGAACTAGTCATGACGAGGAGTATGAATATGCTATTCAGAACACTAATAGGTTTGACTTATGCACATTGTTTCTCTTCTCCTCAATAAATTTCTGTTTTACTCTAAAAAAGATTTATTATAAGATTTCCAATAGGTTTCCTGATTTCTTAGATTTCATAAAGGATCAGATCCCTATGCTACGTGGAAAACTGATTCTTGTTCAGATTTATGAATTTTTCAAATTCCTATCTAGTAGAAATCCTCTCAATACAGATAAAAAGCTATGCACATTACTGAGCCTCCCCTCTTATTATCAGCATCAAAGCCACCTCTATTAACACCCACAGGCAGTGCTGCCACCACCGATCCCACCACCATCACCATTGCTGACCCTACACTCACCACCAAATATTGTGAATTCTGTCACTAACTATTTAGGCTATAGCAGTAAGTTCTTTTTGTTTGCATAGATTTATACATAAGACAAATTTGAAGAGAAAGAAATGGAATCCTGTAAGAAAACAAACTTCAGTCAGGATCTAGTAAACTAATCATAGCCCAATCCTAAACAATATTTCATTTTAGAAAGTAATTTTGTAACTTTTATCTCCAGCATCAATTTTTCAGATAAGATTTTTCCCCTCTTTTTCTCTTCCGTACAAAGTGTAACATCCCGAGCGCTGACGAGGGCGGAGAGTGATCGCCGGTGCAAAGAGGCACAGAGAAGGAGCGGCTCCTGACAGGCTTCCAGCGGGGGGTTACATGCACGAATGAATCGACACTCGAAAGAGAGGGATTCTAAAGGCTGAGCAGGTATAAGACTGCACAGTTTGGGATAGCTTATAAGAATTAATTGGTACTACCTATGCTAACAAGATGCATCTGCTTTTCGGTAGCTCGGATCGGAAGAACTCCACAGTTAAGTGTGCTTGACTTGGAGCAATTCTGGGATGGGTGACCTCCTGAGAAGTTTCCCCTGGAAGTGTGCGAGTGAGGAAAAAGCACACTGAAAAGTCTCGTGTTAGTATGTGGGGATAGTCATTGATTCTTGAAGTGGTCGGGCGTTACAAGTGGTATCAGAGCAGGGCCTCTCATCCAATACGGTGTGGTTCGAGGACGAACCAGGCGGAAGCTGGTGGGCATGTAACATCCCGAGCGCTGACAAGGGCGGGGAGTGATCGCCGGTGCAAAAAGGCACGGACAAGGAGCGGCTCCTGACAGGCTTCCAGCGGGGGGTTACATGAACGAATGAATCGAATCGACACCCGAAAGAGAATGATTCCAAAGACTGTGCAGGTATAAGACTGCACAGTTTGTGATAACTTATAAGAATTAATTGGTACTACCTATACTAACAAGATGCATCTGTTTTTCGGTAGCCCGGATCGAAAGAACTCCACAGTTAAGCGTGCTTGACTTGGAGCAATTCTGGGATGGGTGACCTCTTGGGAAGTTTTCTCGGGAAGTGTGCGAGTGAGGAAAAAGCACACTGAAAAGTCTCGTGTTAGTATGTGGGGATAGTCATTGATTCTTGAAGCGGTCGGGCGTTACACAAAGCTCAAGATAAGTTATTTCTTTCCACAGTCCCACCAAGTATGAGACAAGTAGATAAGAGCTACAAAACATATTCTTTAAAGAAAACTCATAAATATGTCAAGCAGCTATAATTGGCTATGGTCCAATTTCAGAAGCACCAAAAATCTTTCATTTCCTAGAAAAAGACATTCGTTTCTTAAGAACTTCTACAGTATTGGTAATTCAGAAAAAGGACAATTCAAATGCCAAACTTTGTATTTATTTTTCTATAAAAGAAATGCAAGAGAAGAAGTATCTTTCCTTGTTGGACATTTTAAGAACTCCTAATGACTAAAACACAGTAATAGCTGGTAGATGAGATCACCAACAATGGACTGTGGTCAGTTACACACCTCAAGAATACATAACCAGTTGTTTCCTGTGAAGATTTTCTTCCCTGTGCAGTTACGAACCCTGGAGACTTGCAGTGGATATGACAGTGTTCCAAAAGAGCAGTGCTATTGCCAAAGATAAAGTCTACACTTCCTTCAATATAGCAATCTTTCAAATATTGTTTTCCGTAATGTAAGTACAGTGTGTCCTGCACCATAATCATGAAAGAAATTTATCCCCTTGGTATCTCACGTAGAATGTCCTCAAATGAAACAGAAGCTGGGGATTGAACGTAAGACCAGCTAGCCTTCCAATCATGGCCCCATGTTAATTTAAGACACTTTTATTTTCAAGAGATCAGGCTAGAAAGGTAACCATCATATCTTATACAACAAACCAATCACTTAACCAATTCATTTTCAACGATCTTCAAAAGCAAAGATAAATTCTTTGAGAGTTTTCAAAAAAATTTGAGCAATTCAACATGCATTTATCACCAACATAAAAACTTTCAAGAAGCCTCAAGCCTATATACACGAATACACGAATACATCATAATGGTGGAGCACTGGAGCTACCTGCCATCCGAGGAACCTACAATTGTAGAAGGCACACCGATCTGCTGTTACTCTAATTGCCACTGCTTGCCCTGAACCCTGCCAGAAAGAGAAGGAAAACGGAAGAAGCACTATGTAAGGTATTTCACAGTTTGTGGCTGTAGATAAATTTTGTCTAAATCAAACTTACGGAGATACACATTGGGATGTTGATGCATAAAGCAATAATACCAAATCATCTAATGAATTTACAACCAGTTCATTGACTAACAACAGAATAAAGTCAATTGATCTCTATCTTCAGCAATCCGGCAGATCCAAAATACCTCAAAAAGGAAAAACTTCAAACTACAATTATTCTCTCAAATAAACACTACATTTGTAAGGCTATGATAGCCAACTACATGTATCAACATATCAACTATCGACAAAGAGAAGGGACCTATGAACTATCCAAATTGCATATGTATATATGAACACACAGAATCTTACAACACAATCGGTATTCTCTACCTACATGCACTTGTGCCCATTTACCAAAACACTGAAATTTTACAATCATTACCTCAGGGGAAGAATTTTCAAAAGTAATATTCTCAGCAATAAAGTCCTCCCCTTCCACAATGGTACTTCCACAACCAAAAGTCCCAGTCCCTATCAACCTAGCGGGCTGCAAAACAAAAATGAACAATTTTGACAAATACCCATTAACCCAAAAGAGGAAAAAATAAAAAAAAATGAACAATTTTGAGTTTTTGACTGATACCCATTAAACCAAAGGAGGAAAACATAAAGAGAATGTGCCTACTTGGTGGTGATCGATTTTGGTGGCAGTGTTGTTCCATGTAAGCACAGTGTCCTCACGGCTCAAACCAGCAAGGGTGATGAAGTTCTTGGTCTTGGGCACGTACACCGGCTGCCGGTAGATTCCAGGCGACACCCGAATCACCGTCCGGCGAGTGTTGCCGAGCGGCACAACGTCGATCGCTTCCTGCACCGTTTGGAAATCACCGGTTCCGTCCGGTGACACCGTGAATATGCAAGATGCCATTCTATAGAGGTGGTTTTGGTGTCAATAGCAAAGAAAACGCACCAAAAAAACAGGGTAGTCACATTCACAGACAATTATGTATCGGTTCGTGTTGCCGAGGTAACAACACATGGATTTGTCTCCGTGATCTTCACGTGTGCTGGTTGTACTTATTAGTTAACAGAACATTTTATCGTATTGTACGAATAATATATACATATTTTATATAAGGTCATATTTTCATATAAAAATATGTCAAACATATTTTTATATGTATAGAAAATAAATTTATTTCATACAATTAAAAAAATATTAAATCTATAAAAGAAGTCGTGTATTATTTTTAATTTAATTTAAAAATCCTAGAATTTAATGTTGAATATTCTCTTATTTACTTATCAAATATAAATTTTACAAATAAGTAACATACTTATCAAATTACAAGATCATAACATCTACATGTAACATGTTGATAAAATTAAGTCTTAATCAAAACAAACAAACAAATAATTTATTTATTTTAATATTATCCATCATTTCTTTAATTATTCGACAAGTCAATTCAAGTTGAGCAGGATCATATGACTGACAAAGCTCTCTTGTTTTTTCTATTACTTGAACCCAACATCACTGGTTAAGTTAAAATAATTCCTTAACAGTTGATCTAAAGTGGTATAATTTTATTTTTCTTTTAATTTCATCTTTAAATATTGATATGACTTATTTCGTATCATTTTTTGAGCATGACCGTAAATGCACAAGGTTCATTTTTTTGGAATATGAGCCCAGCCCAATTAGTTTCGAACCATGCGGGCCCAATCCAGTGTGAGGGAGAGAAAGTGGAGAAGAAATTAGGGTTTTGGGACTTTTGGCATTTCCTTTCTCCATCTAAACCATGAAAGTATTTTAAATAAAAATTTAAAAATTGAAATGAAAAAATTAACCATGTCTATTCTTTCTAAACCCTAAACCAATCATCCATACATAGTTTTGAATCTTCCCATTCCAATGCTGCAATTTGGATTCTGTGACACAATTCATCTCACCCCAGCGTATCAGCACTTGAAGAGATTTCAGAAAATCTTCAATCCCGAAATTTAGTAGAAATTTTTTCCAGTATAGGAGTTCTTCATAAACATTCATTGCCCAAATACTGAGTCACATCATCATCGTGCGGTAAAATCTTATTGTTGCTGAGTGTTAGTTAATAATAAGTTATTTGTTGTGTTTGCACACATCGAAGCTTGGAATTTGGGATGAAAGTTCTGTACTTGAGAACTACCTTCACTTATTTAATTTTTTATTTGTAAGGTAAATCTTTGGTGAAATTAGGGATTTCATTTGCTTTTATTTAAAGGACGAGGCGTGTTGCATTGCATTCTTGCAGTTTGTATGTGAGTATAAAGCCTTTTCTCAATTTCCATGTGGCTTGGATTCAAAATTCCCATCAACTTGTTCTCCAAAACCACACACACCTTAAGGTTTGCATCCACTTCACTTGCCCACTTCAATTCACCCACTTTCTCAGACAGTGAAGCTGAAGAAGAATCATCTTCATTTTGTACCAATAACACCCTTTTATCTAAGCCACACACTTTCCACGTGCTTCAAACACTGAACCGTTTGCACAATCACCCTGCTCTTGCACTCTCTTTTTTCACTCAAGTCAAGCAACAAGGGTTCACTCACAACATCTCAACCTATGCTGCTATCATCAGGATCTTGTGCTACTGGGGCTTGGATAGGAGGTTGGATTCTCTGTTCCTTGATCTCATTGCTCTTTCAAAACAATACCCTTCATTTGAAATCCATGACTTGTTTGAGGCACTCTTGGAGGGTGTTGATGGGAATCACCACTTGCTTAGAGCGTTTGATGTGTTTGTTAAAACTTGTGTTAGTCTTAACATGTTTGATGAGGCTATTGATTTCCTGTTTCAAACTAGAAGGCGTGGGATTGTGCCAAATATCTTTGCTTGTAACTTTCTCATCAACCGGTTGGTTGAACATGGTAAAGTGGATATGGCATTGGCCATTTACAAGCAACTCAAGAGGCTTGGTTTGAGCCCCAATCATTACACGTATGCCATTGTTATCAAGGCACTTTGTAGGAAGGGTGAATTGGAAGAGGTGGTTTATGTGTTTAAAGAAATGGAGGAAACTGGGGTGACTCCTCATTCCTATTGTTACGCAGCTTATATTGAAGGGCTCTGCAACCATCATAGGTCTGATTTGGGATATGAGGTGCTCCAAGAATGCAGAATGAAAAATGCCCCTATAGAGGTTTATGCGTACACTGCTGTTATTCGTGGATTTTGTAATGAAATGAAATTAGATGAAGCTGAGAGTGTCTTTTTTGACATGGAAAGGCAGGGGCTGGTTCCTGATGTGTATATTTATTCGGCATTGATCTATGGGTACTGTAAGAGTCTTAAGAGTCATAATCTGCTTAAAGCTTTAGCCCTACATGATGACATGATTTCGAGGGGCATAAAAACAAATTGTGTGATTGCTAGCTACATCCTCCACTGCTTGGGTGAGATGGGCATGACTTTGGAAGTGATAAATCAGTTTAAAGAATTCAAGGATTCTGGCATGTTTCTTGATGGGGTAACCTACAATATTGTATTTGATGCTTTATGTAAAATGGGTAAAGTGGATGATGCAACAGAAATGCTAGAAGACATGAAAGGTAACCGTATGGTTTTAGATATTAAACACTACACAACCCTTATTAGGGGGTACTGCCTTCAGGGAAAACTTATTAATGCCTCTAGTATGTTTGAAGAAATGAAGGGAAAGGGTTTAAAACCTGATATTGTCTTGTATAATGTACTAGCTGCCGAGTTGTCTAGAAATGGCCATGCTTGTGAGGACCTTTTGGATTATATGGAGTATCAAGGTGTTAAGCCAAACTCTACTACACACAAGATGATCATTGAAGGTTTATGTTCAGGAAGCAAGGTTGTAGAAGCAGAGGAATATTTTAACAGTTTGGAAGATAGGAGTGTTGAAGTCTATTCTGCCATGATGAATGGTTATTGTGAAGCAGGCCTTATCAAAAAATCATATAAACTTTTTCTTAAGCTGTCAAAACAAGGAGATATTGCAAAAGAAGCTTCCTGTTTGAAGCTAATTAGTAAACTCTGTGAGGAAGGTGACATTGACAAAGCTATGGTCTTGCTGAAGACAATGTTGTCGTTGAATGTGGAACCTAGCAAAATAATGTATTCTAAAGTATTGGCTGCTTTGTGCCAGGCTGGGAATATGAAAAGTGCTCGCTCTTTGTTTGATTTTTTCATTGGGAGAGGAATTACACCTGATGCTGTAACTTACACAATTATGATAAATAGTTATTGTAGGATGAATTGCATGCAAGAGGCCCATGATCTCTTCCAGGATATGAACAGGATAGGAATCAAACCTGATGTCATTACCTACACAGTTTTACTTGATGGGAACTTAAAAGAAAATTTAAGAAGGCATTTCTCCCCTCCACATAGTAAAGGAAAGACAGCAACATTGGATGTTTCCACTATCTGGAGAGATATGAAGCAAATGGAAATAAGTCCAGATGTTGTTTGTTACACTGTTTTGATTGATGGACACATAAAGACAGATAACTTTCAAGATGCAATTAGCCTCTTTGATGAAATGATTGATAGAGGACTAGAACCAGATACTGTAACATACACCGCTCTGATTTCTGGCTTGTATAACAGAGGGAACATGGGGAAAGCTGTTATGCTGTTTAATGAAATGTCTTCCAAGGGAATGACACCAAACTCAGCTTTGAAACGTCGTATTCTAAAAGCTAGAAAGATGCAATTTCATAAGTAGTTAGTCAGTTTAGACTGTTAGCGCTTGGATTTATCCCAAGTTCTAAAATCTATACGGTCAATACCTAAAGGTAAAGCATAATCATATATGCTATTGACTAATTTGCTAAGACTTAAGACTGAAACAATGTTATTTAATTATTGCATTGAAAGATTGTGTTTGATTCTACAGGTTGGAAAAAGAAGAGCTATGCAGATTGATGACCAGGATGTTGTTGTATGTAGGTATGGATCTGTGTCACACTGAGTTAAAATGATATGTAATTATGAAAGTGTAACAAGGATAATTGAGCTGACTTCAAGAAAGTTTTTCTTGTTTCTATGTAGAGTAGTTTGAGTTTGTTGTAAAATAAATTTGGTTTGACATCTTTTGTTCTTCTTTTGGTTTATCTACAAAACACAGTAACAGAAGTACCTGCTCGCAAAGCTAGCCATTCCCTATCGGTGGCACTTTCCAGACTTGCCATTTTTCATCCTGATGTGGCCCTGTCTTTGCAATGTAGTATACACATTGTTTTTCTTCTCTCAGAGGATGCCCAAGGTTCGCCACTCAATCCTTACCTACCAAGTAGTGAATATCAAGTAACTGTGCTATATCTTGGATAACCATGTCAAATCAAGAGCTTTCAGTGAATCTGATTTATATTGCACATGATCGTAGCTTCTTTCCCAGCAAAGGGGCAAACCACATCTAATAGACATAACTTATGCAAGAATGTTTGACGCAATGCCTACGAACCCTAAGAAATCAACAATCCAATTATGATCCACACATCAAATTAAACCTCCCATTCCATCTCTTCCTGAATTATAAAAAGCTTTGCCATTAACGTTGAGTTTAATAAAGCCAGGATATGGAGGAGTCCGGACCACCCATCCTATCTCTGTCCCTGGTTGGTTCCACTCTATTAGGACAGGATTATTTGGAATTTTCCAATAAGATTGGGTGAGGTATTAAATCATGGGTCTGCTGGTCTCATTTGTTTGGTTAATGAAATATGTTGACAATACCTTGAAGTTGTATCAATGGAAGAAAAGATGAGAGAATCAGAGAACATAAATTGAGACAGTTTGAATATATTCTTCAAAGACCCTTAGATACTTAGGTAAGAACAAAAAATTGTTAGCGACATAAAGAAAGGAAGAGGTCAACTGAAACTTACTTGAAAAAGTAGTAAAACAAGATTTAATGAAGAAGGAAATAGATACGGTTTGTCTTGGGATGGAGTGGAGGAAAGTCATTTGCATTGGAGGGGTAGATTTCTTTCTATGTTTTTATATATTTATATATATATATATATATTATTTCTTTTCCCTCGATTTTTTCTTGGTTTTAATTTGGTTTATCAGCCACAAACCCCTAACTAGTTTGGGATAAAGGTTATGTTGATGTTATTGCCATACTTCATATGCTTGTCATGGATTGGAGATCTTGACATTGAGATGTTTCTCCTAAAGAACAATCTGGTTTTAGGAGGGAAATAATTGTAATATGACACAGAAATGTATTGAAGTATAACATTATATGGTGCCTTTCTTTTCTCCCCTAACTGTTAGCCGTGTCTGCTTTCTTTAGGTTTATTCTACATCAATGGCAATGCTGCTGACATATTATCAATATTTCTCTTAAACTTCAAACCTACATTGCAGGTAAATTTCCAACTTTGCATTTGTAGCCAATTGTACCTTGGTCTCCCCTCATGCCTAGCTTTTAGGTCAAATCAATTTGTTGTAGAGCATTTTATATTTTAGACACACATATGGACATAATTTTATTATGTTTTTCTATAGAATATGGAAAGATATTTTGCTGTTTCCCTAGTTTAAGAGTCTGTTGGTCTTAAATGTTGTGGAATACTGGAATGTTTATTTTAATTGTTCTTTATAAAAAGTTATTTTGATTTCAAGTGATTTTCAAATGCCTTTTATCTGGATATATTGTATATGATAATATGACATTTCTTCCTCAAGACTATATTGGCCATTCCTTCGTTTTCTACTTTTTCACCAGACTCATGTTCAAGTTAAGTATTGATATGATTGCTTACAACCTTTCACGCTCTTGTTATCAGGCTGTAACTGGATATTAATCCCCTGTTTCTTATTGTATGCAGCTTTTCATGGGCATTATTATTTTAATGATGTCTCTGCAAATGTATTTTGTCCAAGCAAATATACTTGTAGATATGCCATTAACAGTTAAATCATATAAAGAGTAACTCCACAGTATCCATTGATTGAAGAACACATTAATGATGTTATTTGAATTCAATTTTTTGGTATTCAAGTTGGTTTAATCTGGTTTGAGCCCTGTTGGACTCGTATTGGGGACAGCTCTCCCCTATCATTTTTTTTCATTCCCATGACTTGAATTTAAGATTTTTGATTAAGGCAAACAAGTTCCTGGTAGCTTGATGCAATGGTTGTTAGAATATTTTTATTCCTTATATTTAGCAATAACTTAATGAAAAGAAGTTGAAAATGAATAATTTTTGTCCTTCTAATGTACACTGATGTATATTAAACCAATCAAAAGGGAAGGGTAAATGAAAAAGAGGGAGAAGAAACTTTGATAGAGATCCAGGCTCAAACAATATTTAATTATTTTTGGATTAAGAAATCCAAGGACGAGGCGTCTAATATTTTTAAAGGACAAAAAATGAATGGAACTGCCGGATAAAACATGGAAACAGGTTCCGATTATTTGCATTAACGTACAGTTGGAGGTAAATAGGAATGCTACAAAATCTGTTTTTAACACAGAAAATGGACATGAAATTTTAGAAGACACAGCTAAGAGTAAAATGAGAACTTGGATTTTGGCCATTTATGTAGAAGAGAGACCATAGCAAAACTCATTTCCCACAAAATCATCTTTGTTGAGTACACAGTTGCAGATTGTTGATAACGATTACACTTTAACACAACATACTTGCCTGTTCATTGTCCAAGCATCGTACAAGTTGCTTGCACAAATTTCAATTGCAGTGCTTGATGTTAAGATTCAACCTACTACAAAACTCAAACTAACTAGTAATGCTAATTGCATATTTTAGTCACCTGCATACCACATGTTGGTCCGAAATCGTGCTTACTGAAAATATAAATGATTTGCTAACAGGGTGAACACAATTGATTAAGGATTAGGCTCATACCCCACATTTAAGTTTAATTCAAAAATAATAAAATTAAATCAATATTAATAGTATCTGACATTAATTTTAAACCCCGAGTGGTGGACGATTTGTAATATCTTTCAGAAATTCTCAAAGAAAAATTCTCAAAGAGATTGAGAGGTCTGCCTTAATTCTACTTAAACTTTTTATGTACTAAAAATAAATAAATGATCTTATATAAGAAATTAATTTCTTGATAAATTCAGTTAAGACATACATAACAATCACAACTTTAATGCTGTCAAACAGAAATAATAACGGGTTCCGTCTGAGTAAAGAAATACTTGTTAGATCTTGTGTTTGTGAGACAAAATAAAAATAAAAATAGAAACATGGTTTACCCCCCCAAAAAAAAAAAAAAAATAGAAACTGACCAACATGATAAACACTAATTAACGATTTACACCTATCCACCTGGATTATAATAATACATTAAATCAGAATTTAACACATAATAATTGCCATAAAATTGGGACACTGCAATTCAACGGTAATGCATCAGATCAGAATTCAATACATATTTGGCACAAAATGTTATTAGAAAATAATATAAATCATTAAAAAAGTCATCACTTAATATCTTAGAATTTTGGGTTGAAATATTCTTTACATGTTATCATAACTTTAGGGGGCGTTTGGTAGAGGAGATAAATTTTGTTACCAGGGAAATATAATTAGTGGAGAAATGGTCGAAAAATTATATTAGTAGAGAAATATAAAAAAAAGTTGTTTAGTAGATCAGAATATTACTAGGAAAATTAACAAATATTTACTAGACTATGTTTGGTTGTAAGTAAAAGACTTTGTTTATTCAATAGAGCCCTTGTTGCAGTATCGTTGGACACCTGTGATGCAACCAACGTTCGTCATCGTCCATTTCTCTGTTAGTCGCTCCTGTAGAAGTCCATATTGCATCACAAGGTTTTCGTTTTCATGGTTGGGGGGTGGATCCATATTTTATTTTTTTTTATATTTATGGTAAATATGTTTGAAATGTTGAAACACTGGACTTGTAATTAAAAAAAAAAATTGGAAACCTTTTGGTTGTTTTTTTTTTTTCCTCGCACGAATTTTTCTTTTTTAAGTGAATCATTTTCTTTTGCTGGAATCAAATACGTGAATAGGAATGAAAATGACAAAAAATGAAGTGTTGTTGTCCACCAAGGCACTTGATACGAAGTCTCAATTATAAAGATAAGGTCATACAATAGCTTACTTGGCCTACTCTACATGCATGCAACATTCAATTATAATGGACCAGTTTTGCTTGTTTAGACCCCTGACTTTATTAGAAGAAGATATCCTTCTGCCAAATATTGATATGAAGAACAAATATACCAGTCAATTGAAGTTCTAAATTAAGGAAGGCGGGGCTGAGGTAGGTATAAGTTACGTAATAAAAATTGTATTTATTACTTATCATATTATTTACAGAAAAAAAAAATATGAATTTATTTTATCTATATTTAAGATATGAATTTTCTGCATCAAAATTTCAACATAAGACAACAGTTCTCAACATCTTATATCTAAAAGTTGTTTTTGTTCTATAGAACACAGGAGACATGTTCTATAAGATTAGTGTAACTTTTTAAGCTAACAAATATACATATCATTGTACTATTATTTTGGATTTTATCTGTTTATATTTATTATGGTATTAAACTTAGTTATGCTGTATGCTGTTTGCTGTTGAGCCTCCAATTCTTTGCATGTTCTTCACTATACTACTTAGTTATGCCTTGGTTATGCTACAGGGACTACGATTGCAAGTGATGTTGCACATGAAAAGTGGTGGAAGGTGCATGATGCAATGCCTGAGCTCCCTGAAGTTTTGCATGTTCATGTCAAAGCAGAAGGCACAGTTACATTGGCACCCTCGACTGACTAAGATAGCAAAGTACACATCTGGGCATATGAGAACTTGGAAAGTTAAAGATAGGTGCTTGAAGAAATGTATAGATAGCTTGTGGAATTGGAAAAGCATGTTGAGGCATTGGGGAGAGAAAAATTGGACAGATGATGTGTCTTACACGCCAACCAAAAAATTCCAACCAAAAAAGTATAATCAATTGGAAACATCTTTGGAAATGGAAAGGGCCCCTCCGCATAACTATGTTCATGTGGTTAACTCTACATAACAAGCTACCAACTAGAGAATGGGGTAGCAATTGGAGTGGGGGATCAAACTCGTGCCCAGTTTGTCATATTGAAAGAGAATCTACCTTGCATGTCCTTCGAGATTGCAAATATGCTACTTCATTGTGGAAATACTGGTTCAGAAATAGGACCCCTGCAAACTTCTTCATTAACCCCTTAGAAACCTGGATCTGCAATAATATGCTTCGTGGTTACAAGAACCACCAACAGAACTACTGCACCTCCTTCAATGGGATATGGCACATGAAGAGTAGGGTGGGATCAGCCTGGAAAAGGATTCCCATCCTGACTAGAAAATATTTGACTTTTCTGTTTTCTTGGTAGTTTATTTCTGTTTTTTTTTTTTTTTTCCTTCCTTGGGCTTTTAATGCCCTCCAGTTGTACCAAAATAAATAAATAATGATTTTAAGCCATGATGACAGTATGGTTTCTCGTACAAAATTGTTGTCAAAGACAAAATAAAAAATTAAAGCAAATCTATAGACAAATATGAAGAACAATGAATAATTCTCCTTGTATTACTTGAAGGGAAACACTAGTACATAATATATATATATCTCTTACTGAGAAATCCTACATTGCCAAACTAAACCATACTCAAATTAAATGTACCCAGCATATTGAAACTAAACCATTCTTTGCCAACCAAAATCCACTTAATTAACTGAAATCCATATAACCATAGCTCAGTCTAAAAAGTGCCATAATATTCCTTTCTTCGTTTATCTGTAAAAGTCAATCATCATGTGCGTTGTCCAAGCATCACTCCACAAGGTCTCCAATCTCAACCCGGGGAGCAATGATTTTATATACATTAGATGCCTACTGATCACTCCACAAAGTTGTTAGAACTTGGACAGTACTTAGCAAGGCTATTGGTTTTAAGCCAGGAACAGTGCTCCCAATGATCCTTATGATGCAACACTTTTTGTAATATTTCGTTGCAAAAAAATTTAATTAATGCTTTTTAATAAAATAATTACTCATTTATTACAGTTTTGAGAATAATTACAGATTTATTCTACAATGTGACGTCTCTTTTGGGCGTCACATGAGACGCCTCATTTGGTCGACTCACCCTAAGAGAGACGCCCCAATGGGACGTCTCTCATGAGGTGTTGACACGTGTCATTTTTAAAAAAAAATAATAATAATTTAATTATAAAACTTCTGAAGGCCATAACTTTTGACTCGGGTATTCAAATCAGGTAATTCTTTTTTTGATTCCACATAACTTTTCGAGTTCTACGCAATGACATGTCATTTGACATATTTTATTTCTCACAAATACAATTTTAATTTGCAAGAATGGTATTATAAGAGCGGTTAAACTCAGAAGCCTCTGAGTTCTGAGTTTGTGATTTAATATAAAAAAATAAATAAAATTTTGATTTGTGATTTAATTTTTTTTATAATAATTTTTTTTTATAATAATTTTTTTTATTATAACCAAAATTTGGTTTGTGATTTAAATTAAAAATAAAAATCATTATTAATAAGGAAAACAAAATAAAGATTTGATTTGTGATTTAAACTAAAAAATCAATTTGAAAAATCTGTAGAAATAAAGAAAATAATTAAATAAATATTCTAAATCTTTAAGGAGGAAGGATATTATTTTTGAAATTAATGATTAATGCTATGAACTTCTGGATTATTATTTGTGGTCTGAAATTAATGATGGCTTATGAATGTTTTTCAAAAATAAAATTACCTAAATTAAGCGTAATTGCCTCTTGATTGAAACTCAATTTAGACGTGATTGGTAATGTGTCAGGTGTTGACACGTGTCACATTTTTAAACTCAGAAGCCTCTGAGTTCTGCGTTTGTGATTTAATATAAAAAATAAATCAAGATTTGATGTGTGATTTAATTTAAAAAATAATTTTTTATTTTTATTATAAAAAAAATTTAGTTTGTGATTTAAATTAAAAGTTACAATTATTATTAATAAGGAAAACAAAATAAAGATTTGATTTGTGATTTAAACTCAAAAATCAATTTAAAAAACCTGTATTAATAAAGGAAATAATTAAATAAATATTCTAAATCTCTAAGGAAGAAGGATTACCTGATTTAAATTTAAATTATGTTTGTGAGAAATAAAATATATCAAATTAGATGTCATTGCGTAGATCTCGAAAAATTATGTGAAATCAAAAAAAGAATTACCTGAATTGGATACCCGAGTCAAAAGTTATGGCCTTCAGAAGTTTTATGATTAAATTTTTATTTTTTTGAAAAAAAAATGACACGTGTCAACACCTCATGAGAGACGCCCCATTGGGGCGTCTCCCCTTAGGTTGAGACGCCCAAATGAGGCGTCACATTGTGTAATAGATCCGTAATTATTTTTAAAACTGTAATAAATGAGTAATTATTTTATTAAAAAGCATTAATTAAATTTTTTTGCCCATACTTTCTTGTTACTGAAGAGTGGGAGCAGAAATTCTTCCTGCAAAAACATATGAGTACAGTTAAAGGTTAACCATTGTATAAGAAATAGCTGAATGAAACTGGTATACAATTTGACCTCCCTGGTAGACCATTTATAATAACTGAATTGTAGAATTTGCCACACACCTCTTACAAGGCATCTACCTCACTGACTGCAGCAGTACAAAAGCTAAACAGGTATCTGAGTGATATAATCCAGTAACATGTCAAAATATTACTAATTGATATATTAGATGATTTCAATTTAAAAAAAGGGCATTAGGAATAGCATGCCTTACCCCTCCTTATAGACTAAAGTAAAGACTAGGATATATTACCAAAAAAACACTTACACCAACCCACATCAGGTAACAGAACCTTATATTAACTGATATGAAGGGTTAGTACAAGTATGATTGGCAGCCACATGGCGTATAACACAAAAAGTTACATACAAAAAAGGAATCAGCCACAAAGGATTAGGCATATATGCTCCACTTTGGCAGCCTACCCCTGATCTAATATTAACAGTATGGTGGTTACAATTCTGAAAAAGATACCTAACAGAACACAAGAAAAAAACAAAACATTAATAACATTATATGCAGTGTAAAACTTAAAAATAGCAAGACTAATATGTATTGGTGATGTTGTGCCTTCATATTCTCATCCAAAAATAATCCAGCCTTCGTAGGTACAGGTCCTGTAGACATGGTAGCATACACAGATGGCAACCAAAATACATTAACACAACAAATCTTTATATAAACACAAAAAATAAATATGTGACCTAGTATCCTTTGTGGTGTAAGTCACAGACAGCATCCATATAACAGAAAACCGATTGCAGGTGTCACTCCTCCAAATGAACTGAAATATTTTACAAATAAGGTAAGGACAGCATTTTGTCAATTGAATATATATATTAATGGAATCATTGCTGTGGTACTCCTTCTACTGTTATATTGGGTCAGTTGTCACCAGCTATTATCCTTTACATCTGACAACACATTTGCCAATTCACAAAGTTTACAAGCACAATTGAAAGACATTAACTTTCAGGATATACAATGTTCCCATGGACTGCATAATAACTCAATCTTGGTGAAACTTTACCACATGTGTCAACTCAATCATAAACAAAAAAATTTGACACTCCAAGACCCCCTTTCTGCGCCCAAAGCACTAAGATTTGTTAAATCTTGGAGAGTGGCCGTATGAAATGCATCCTGCAAGTATACATGATGATTTAAAAATCAAATAAATCAACTTTACAGATTAACAAAGAAACTGATAGTTGTTTGAAATCACAGATTACCTTCACATTCAGGAACATGTATACTTTGAAGACTAATATATTGGCATCCACAAAAAGGCAAGCAGCCACACTTCTGAAGCATTTACATGAAGGATATACATTGGCAGGAGACCCGACTTCTAATATTAACATCATTGTGGTTACAATTCACAAAAGATAACCATATGCTACAAAAAAATGCCTATCTATCCGCACAACCAAAAAAAGTGATATTGTGTCAGTCACTGATGAGTAGCCAACAATCCAGCCACTATAACAGCTCGTTGCGCGTGACTGCATTGCATGAAGACATCTGTGAGATTGCTATCCCTGCCCAATTGCACAGCAACATCAACCTGTTGTTGCACCGTCAATTCTTCAAATTTCTCCAGTTTAGTCACAATTGACATTCGCCTATGGCTACCCTCAGCTTGATGTTGAAAGCAACCTACCAACTTATCAATACTATCATTTGACTTCCTGTAATTATGACTAAGATCCTTCATAACATCAACAACTTCCACAAGCAATGGATCTTCACTTCTCTGACGTTTTTTACCCCTCGTTGTAGTAGCAGTTGATACAGGAGATGGTGGCATCACCTTCTCTTGTGGGACATCGGGCATTGTAGTATCAACACAAGGTGTGGGGATATAGTCCCCAGTCAGGTCAAGGTAATCGTCAAAACCAGTCCTACTCTCTGCATACATACCACCCTCTTGCTCCATTTGGTTAACCGTATATGTTGGCCCCTCTGCATTAAGTCCAGATGCAACATCTTTTCCTAAGACTGCTCCTAAGCTGTCGTAGTGTGGAAATGGTTTATTGAACAGACCCTTAGCGTTAGGATGGCTCTGCAACAACATTAAACAAAAAGGTTACTGAATATGCAAATAAAATTATTGAATATCACACCCTACATAAATGATACAAGTACAGTAAGTAAGAATCAAAGCTTACCTTCACCCAGTCATTGAATATCTCCCTCTCCACCTCTATCATTTTTTTGGTATCATTCCATCCAAACCCACTTGCACCATTTGGACTGATCATTTCAGCGATCGCATTGTAGTGTTTTTTTAACAACTTAACCCGGGATGTGATGTGAGGGATACCTTTGAGGGTACAACCAGGTATCCTTTGATGCATGAGCTTCTCTATAGCACCGGAAAAACCAGGTTTAAAACCATTATCTCCTTTCCATCTCGACCCTATGTCAATGAGACATTTCACAAGCACTTTATCCTCTTCGGCTATCCACGTATGATTATTCCGTTTTGTTGACTGCTGGCTGTCTTCGGCCATTATGTTCAATGATGAACTAAAAAAATTGCACAATGAGTAAATATACATGGAAGTAATATGTTAAATAAATGTTATATCATCCCTATTAAACAAATCTAACATGAATATACCATGTCGTGATTTGTGTAATACACATGAAGAGCAAACTATAATGACAAAGAAGATATCGAAAAATAAGCCAGCATTCAACATTATTACAAGATAAGAGTTTACTGATCCAGGTTTGTAGTGAAATCTAAGGCGAACCCTAAACAAACATAAACTTTGGACATTTTGAATTGTTACATAGTCCAAATCAAACACGTCTCCTCCAGTTGTTAAACATCTGTTGGGCCATATCGTCCCTAAATTGTGACCATGCATTGGATGACTCCACGTGAGTGATCATATCATTTGCTGCAATCTCGTCTTGAACCGGTAGACCATCCACTTCACGCTCCTCTAATGGGTCAAAGGCCATCTCTCTTCTGATATGATTATGTAGCAAGCAACATGCAGTTTTAATCCTGATTTGTGTTTTAACCGGATAGAATGACTTCGACCTAACAATCGCCCAACGCCCCTTCAACAACCCAAAACAACGTTCTATGACATTCCTTGCAGAAGAATGTTTCATGTTAAAAAATTCCTGTGCTGTTGTTGGTTGTGCCCCGTGTCTCCACTCACTAAGATGATATCTTTGGCCCCTATAAGGTGTCAGGAAACCTTCCCCATTCATGTAACCAGCATCACACAAATAATAGTAACATGAAACAATAAAGATGCCAAACATTAGACATAAATTATCATGTATTCAAGTAAGTGAACAGTAGACGAAATAGGGAAGATAAAGCCAAAAGTTTGAGGTACCTTTTGGAACCCTTAAACCATTACTACGAGATATGGCATCTCTTAGGACCCTCGAATCTACAGCTAATCCTTCCCATTCAGGCAAAACATAAATAAACTGAGCATCTTGTGAACAAACCCCTAGCACATTGGTTGCTATGTCTCCCTTCCGAGTGAGGTATCTCGCCTTATCAACAATCAAAGGATTAACTTTGATGTGTGTCCCATCCAGAGCTCCCAAACAATTCTTAAAAATCAAACCAAAATAATTTTCGTATCAGAGGTGAGTTGCATAGATCTCAATTTCAACAAATATATATTTGTAACAGTAAAATCCAGTGTCAAGTTACCTTGAACCACTTCCACTTTTCATCAGTTGAGTTCTGAGGGACTGGTTCAGGTCGTTTCAGTAAAACTGTATGACAGCGTACGACAGCCAACAGCACATTGGTGAACTGCCTGCTAACTGTTTCACCGGACCTCATGAATTGTCTTTTAATTATCCTATTCTTCACATCATGTGCCAAAATGTGAAGAAATATTGCAACCATCTCTTCTACACCCATATGCTTCGTCGGTTCAAGCCCCCCAACAGTTTTCACTAACTCACACAATTTAAAAAAACACCTTCTATCCATCTTTGTATTCTCTATACAAGCAGTGTCACTTAAGTAAATTATTCTATGGAAATTTACTTCCCTTACCCTAACCCTATTACAAAACTGCCATGTTACTGTCCTCCTTTTGCTTCTCTTTTTTAGAATATCGCGTAATAACAAAGCACACAAACTCATTAACAACATTGTCATTTGATTAATACACTGCAAATGAGTGATGAGTACAACAATGACACTAAACTCCATTCCATTGTTCATTGCAACGATCTAACACAAAGAAGGACAAAACAATTCAGCTTAAACAAAAAAAACAACATATATCAAACCAAATTTCTGCATGCCTTTGATGACATGCAGAAATAAGGAAACTATCTGTACAACCCAAATGAGTTAATGAACATGACTTTCAGGATTAAAAATAACACAATAACAGTTCCCATCAATGTCACATGTGGGAATGGACATACATAACCAAGTAATGCAACCTTTCCCCCTTGAACAGTGAGATTGTTTTAACAAATCAAACCAGTGACAATAAGGCACCAATGTTTACAACTTCACCAAGCTGGTGCTCTAAAAGGAACCCTATTAATAATCCAAGATGTAAGCGTAGCAAAAATTTTCAGCATGATTATTCTTTCATTTTTCAATAAAACAATACAGTGAACTACAAGGAAGAACAGAGTGAGATGAAATTATATAAAATATTATATTGCTTACATACTCAAACCAGTTGCTTACCAAACCACTGATTTAGCTCTTTTAGACAAGATGAGGCTCAAAGCAAGAAATGGTTGAAATCTGAGTAAGCCAAATATATACCATGTACTGCATAAAAAATGACTGAATGCGTCAATGGCAAAACAAATTTAAGAGAAAAAATACAAATAAACTGAAATTAAGAACACAATATAAAAAAAAATATTGCTATGAAAGCATGCAGCACTAAAGTGTAGGGTGTATGTTGTTAACCACCATTTTAAGTCCCTAAGGATAACATGTCCGGTGTGCCCCGCTCAACAAAAACAACCAAGGATTTTTCGGCTAGTTGAAGACGGTTACATGTACCACATCACAACATTTGTGCTATATCAATAAAATATTTTTCTGCACAATGAAATTTTAGAAAAATAGAACGAAATGTTGGAGCTGCTTCAGTAAAAACTCTTTTGTCCTTTTTTTAAGCAAATCAACAACCACAAACGACCATGAGCATGAACACATCCCAAAACAACATATACCGGACACGACATGGGCAGGGGAAAGTCATTAGCACATCTGTTTGCTAAAACCAAGGCTACCGGAAACGACCATGAGCAAATCAACAACATCAATTCCATTCTTTACAGGGGAAAGTAACGCAAATGACTTACCGGAATTGTGAGGTAATTGTGAGGTACAGAGGCGGACCAAAACCTGTAGCAGATGACTCGTCTTTGCTTCAGCTACACTCGTCAATCAGTTCAAGGATGCTACCATGGAGTAATCACGAACACAAAGAAATAGAAAATCACTGGTAGATAGGTTTTCAACCACATGCATGACCCATGGAGCTGTTTAGGAGAGAAGAGCAAAACTCACCAATACTTTCTTCATTCTGTATCGTTCTTGCAAGCGAATACGGACCACAGGTATTAGAGGAGAGAGGTGATTGCAGAGGGGCATTTGCGTAACTAAGTTGGCGTCAAAATCATGACTTTCCTAGCTTTCTCCGGATACCACCTCGAAGAAGGTCTTCCCCAACAGTGCAGAGTGTCCCATTTTACACTGAAACCAGCTTTTGATGGGGAAACGTCATGCTCTCCTTTGTTTCTGAAAAACCTGTATCAAACACGTCATTCTCATTTCCCCACTCTTGCTTACCCATCTATCTCCTCAAAAACCACCTGCCAAACACATCTTTAGTGACCACAAGGTATCCTCGTCACCTCCTCACTTTCTAATGAAATTAAATAAAAAAACACAAAAGATAAACCAAAATATGAGCCTGTGCAATATTCAAGTCCCTGTTGCTTGAGGGGATATGTTAAAAAATAATATAAACTATTAAAAGACCATCATCCAATAGTTTAAAATTTTAAATCGAAATAGTTTTTTAAAAGGAACTATTTGTTGTTACTCAAACCATATCAATTCCTATTTTATTTAAGGGCTTTGCAAAGTCACAGGACAACAAAAGTTTTTCTTACAGACCCAAATAAACGTGGGGTCCACACTTGTTTTTTTTTTCTTTTACTTTTTTCACTGGGATCCATGAATTATTTCTCTCAGTGGCAGGAGGAATCCAGTTTCATGTCACATAATACTTATAAATCTCTTTATTTAATTGAAAGTTTACATCTTTTAGAGAGCCTTGTGCATAAGGATAATTCTTTGATCATTTTGAGCTCCTCCTGTTGATTTGCTTGACATTAATTCTCATGGACCGTAAAAGTCCTGCATTCGGCATAATATATCTTGCAAATTGAAACTCACCTTTTGAACCTGTATAATTATGAATTAGGCATGGTTTAAGGTGCAATGAAATGGATTTAGGGACAGATTGTGGGCATGGCCATTCTCGTCCTTCTTCATATTCTTCAAAGTAGTCGCAATGAAAGAAGTCACAATAAGCCCATTAACAATAGACACTAAATAAAATTAACAAAAATATGTGGAGAAGATAACAACAGAAATCATCCTTAAACTCAGCAAACCTGAAAAATGACAAGTCTTCGAAGCTTGGGACAATGGTTGGTCACTTCTACAACGTAAAACCAATCCTTAACATACTTAAAATAACGGAAAACTTAAAAAAAAAAACCCAAGTTTCCTCAAAATCACTTAACCCCCTCCCCAAAATTTTTAATCATTTATTCCACTACTTAAATTTTTTTTATCACTTACCCCCTAATTTGATTTTACATCCAAAATTTTGTTAACAGAGTTAAATTTTTAAAAAAAATACCAAAATTACCCTTAATAGAAAAAAGAAAAACATAATTTCTTCACCAACGCAATTTTAGACGAACTCACGGAACGTTTTCTTTAAGGTAGCCTTGTTAGAATTAGTAATTATTAAAATTATTTCCTACAAATTCCATTGCTATTAAACACCGCACTCATAATTGTTGGTGTCGTTGATAAAATAAAATGATTAAAAATTTCAGGGAGGGGATTAAGTGATTTTGAGAAAACTTGTAGGAGTTTTTTTTGAAGTTTGTCCTTAAAACTATTACTTTTAAGAGGTGGCAAGTTTTTTTCGTTTTGATAATATTTGATATTGTGAATGATTTACATCTTATGAAATTATTAGTGGACGATTCTATTGAGTATCATGTTGGTTTCTTTGTAATCAACTCGTTGATATTTTTAGCCCATGTATTTGAACAACGACACCACCAATTGTGAGTGCGGTGTTTAATAGCAATGGAATTTGTAGGAAATAATTTTAATAATTACTAATTCTAACAAGGCTACCTTAAAGAAAACATTCTGTGAGTTCGTCTAAAATTGTGTTGGTGAAGAAATTATGTTTTTCTTTTTTCTATTAAGGGTAATTTTGGTATTTTTAAAAAATTTAACTCTGTTAACAAGATTTTGGATGAAAAATCAAATTAGGGGGATAAGTGATAAAAAAAATTTAAGTAGGAGGTAAATGATTAAAAATTTCGGAGATGGGGTTAAGTGATTTTGAGGAAAGTTGTAAAGAGTTTTTTGAAGTTTTCCCTTCAAATAAATGAGTTTAATATAGGTCAAATTGTGAAACACGAGAATAAGATCTTTGACACAGGGTTCTGCTTCCTCTTCATTAATCATATTCATATCCATCTCTTCGTCATTAACCAAATATTCTTCCAGTTGCAAGAGTTACACAATAACAAAATATCAGAAATCTCATTTTTCTCAAAAATAAAAAGTAATCACATATAAATCACATTTTCAGTACATTTTGTATGCACATAAACTCTACAAAGCAAGAATACTTGTCTTCCTTATTGGCATAGACATGATCATCGAAGTCGAGAGTGGGGACAGAGAGAGGATTCCACTTCTTGGAGAGAACACTATGGCAACAACTTGTTTTTTTTTTTGGTACATAACAGGGGCACGCCCCAAAAACAGAAAAATAAACAGAAAGCAAAAAACAAAAGGAAAGGAAACTAGTCAGGAACCCTAGCAAAAGAGGGGACATCAGCATCCTGAAGGACTAACAGAAGCAGCTTTTAAAGATCTTCAGGAGGGGAGGAGAAAAAGGAGAGACCTAGAGGCTTGTCCAAAGCATGTTTGGCCAACCAATCAGCACAAGAATTAAGCTCTCTTTTAGCAAAAACAAACTCAGTAACCCAATTCTTAGTAAGATGTGCTCGAATCCTAACTACCAGGGGCAGTTTTCGAGCGTCATAGGAGGTAAGTAAGTTAATAGCTTGAGAAGAATCACTCTCAACTATAACCTTAGGAAGACCAAGGCTCCAAGCATACTCTATCCCATGAAGGATTTCCCAGAGCTCTGCTTGAAGAGGGGAACAGGATCCCAGAAACACTTGGAACCCACCAATCCAGTTCCCAGAAGAATTTCGGATGAGGCCCCCACCAGCAGCCTTGTTTAGGGAAACAATCCCATCAACATTAACTTTAATCCAGCCACCAGGGGATCGTGTCCAATGATCTTTGAAGGAAATCTGGTTGCTAATTTCAGAACAATTTAAAGGTCTATGGATGGTTAAGTACATGTCTTCAATAACTTTTTCAATCACCTTAATGACACTCTCCGACCTTTTAAGGTCACTGTCATGGATGACATTATTCCTCCACAGCCGAATGAACCATCAAGAGAGAATGTGGCAAAGGACAGCCTCAGTCAAATTGCTAATCCTACCATCAGCCATGGTTATATAACAACAAAAACGCAAAAAATAGAAAAGCAATTTTACAATCATAAGGTAGGTTCTTAAGTAGTGCCTTCCACCAACTCAACAAAATCATTGATAGCCTCTTCAGCTGCTTAAAACAATAACTCACCTCCCATCATGCCCAGTTGGCTGCTGAGCTCACCATCCAATGTGAAGAATTAATGCTCTACTATGTAGCTTGGTTTTCTAGATTCTCCAAAAGTGGAAGAAGAATAACAGGCCAATGGTGAGTTTGTATGAACTCGCCATTCCAATGTGACAGTTACTGATCTTTTGTTAATCACGTGATAATTAAAACTCAAAATTTAAATTATCTTGGAATGACCTTCACACATGAAATTTTTTAGTTTTCAGCAACAACTTTATTTGAAAGAATAATGTGTTATCATTTTTCAAGATATTTCTTTGGTAAATGTTAAGAACATTTTTCCCAATAAGGGAAAAACATTTGATACAGAAATTTTTTCTCGGTCACTCACATAAAAGTGTGGAGACCCCATTTTGAAAAGGAGAGAAAGAAAAAATTAGCAGAATCGATTTACTTTTATATGAGTACAGCAGAAAAAATTTTTACATCTGAAACAAAAATATTAAACCCATTTTTTATTGAAAAAAATATTCCTGCTCAGATTAAAGTGAGTGGATCATATTGTAAAAAAAACAAGAGAGAAAATATTAATAGAACTCTCTCGCATTTACATATGTATATGTGTGTGTGCATTAAAGTGAGTGGATCATATTGTAAATATATATATATATATATATATATATATATATATATATATATATATTAGTAGTCCCTCGCGTTTACGTGTGTGAGTGTGTGTATTAAAGTGAGTGGATCATATTGTAAAAAAAAAAGAGAGAAAATATTAGTAATCTCTCGCGTGCGTGCGTATTAAAGTGAGTGGATCATATTATAAAAAAAGAAAAAGAAAATATTAACAGTCCCTCGCGTTTTCGTGTGTGTGTTAAAGTGAGTGGATCATATTGTAAAAAAAGAAGAAGAAAATATTAGTAGTCCCTTGCATTTACGTGCATGAGTGTGTGTGCGCGTGCAGTTGTGTGTTGGGGGAAGGGGGGCAGATAAACCCTTTTTTATTTGTATTTAACAATAACTTAATGGATTGGAAATGAATACATCTTTGGTTTTTCTAGTGTATATCAAACCAATCACAAGGGAAGGCTAAAAGAAAATGAGTATAGAGATCCAGGGTGAAACAATATTTGGTTTAGACACACATACGAAAATTAGAACATTAATGCTATCAAAAAAATTACAAAGCGTCCTTTTGAGCAAACAACTACTTGTTAGATCTGTGTTTTTGGGCTGTTGAGTGTGGCAGAGAAGAAACAAAAACTGACCAACATGATATTATGATAAACACAACTTCCTGCGCTGGTGGGAATGCATAATAAGATCAGAATTTAACAATTGCCACAAAATGGGTTCAGAACAACACAACTTACAATCATGGATAAAGAAATGAGTCGGATGAATTTGAAAAATTAAAAAAAGTATATGTTCTTAAATAAAGCTACTAATGAAAAGGATGACATCAAAGAAACGTTTGCAGCTACTCAAATCCCATCAAAATATCATTTCATTTAAATGAAAGTTTGCATTTTGCTGAACGCCTTCTGCACAAGCATAATTTTTTGATCATTTTAAGCTTTCGTTGTCGATTTGCAGCAGCATGAGAACAGATTGTCATGTTCTGTAACATTCTTGCATTTCGCATAATATAACTTGCGAATCGAAACTCACCATTAGAACCTTTATAATTATTAACACGACATGTTTTAAGTTGCAATGACACTGATTTAGGAACAGATTGTGGGCATGCCCAATCTCCTCCTTCGTCTTCTTCAAAGAAATCACGATAATCCTATTAACAATAGACGTATAATAAAAATTAATAAAAATATCAGAAGAAAAGATAAAAACAAAATCATCCTTAAAAGGCTTAAACTTAGCACACCTGATTAATGATAAGATTTTGAAGCTTGGGACTATGTCTGAGCACTTCTACGAGATGAAGCCAATCCTTAACATAATCAAAATAGATGAGTTCAATATAGATTAAATTGTGAAACACAGGAATAAAGTTCTTGACACAGTGTTTCGCATCCTCCTCATTAACCATATTCATCTCTTCGTCACCAAACTCATCTTCCACCTGCAAGAGTTACAATAACAAAATATTAGAAATCTCATCTTCCTTAAAAATAAAAAGTAATCACATATAAAATCACATTTCCAGTACCTTAATTATGCGCAGAAATTCTACGTTACTAACTACATCCAATGGAATACGACGCGTAAAAATATATGCTCTGAGCAAATTGGGTAACCTTTTAAACTCTCCCTTAGGTAGAGAGTTTTCAAAATACAAAGCATTTGCTTCCAAATCCTCAAGAACTGGACACCCAGAAAGAAGTTCCGCGAGATATCTGGGTTCTAAGAAACGGATGGAATTCAAATGCAGGATTTTAAGTGAGGGCAAATCAATAGAACAAAGTGTTTTGAGTACTAATCCCCTCAACTTGAGAACAACAAGGGTCTTGTGGCTGAGAATGGCAGAAGGCAAGTTGATGTCCGGTTCATACCTAAACAACGTCAAAGGCGGCAGACAAAGTTCGAGGTGCTCAACTCTGCGATGTAGTGCAGCATTAACCCATATGTTGATATTGGTCGATTCACAAAGAGAAGATTGACAGCAGAGGCGAAATGTTTGGATCGGTTGGTGCAAATGCCGGGAGAGGATAACTGCGTACACTGACTGTACAAAGCGGTAATATGACAGTTTGTTTTTGGGGTAGGTTTTATCGTCGAAGTCAAGAGTGGGGACAGACAGCCAAAGAGGTTTCCACCTCTTTGAGAGAAGACTGGTGGCAACAACTTGTTTGGTTGGAAGAAAAGAGAGAATATGGCATAGGACAGCCTCTGGCAAAGTACTAATCCTATCAGCCATTTGAACATAAACCAATTTTATGTTACAACTATAAAAATAAGTGTATGTTACAAACGCTAAAAACCACCACTAAGATCATCAGACAGAAAGAAGATGATGCTCAGAGAGTTTACCACGACAACGCTCATGAAGAAAATGGAAAAACTATAATGTTTTGTTAACAACCTTATGTTATGTTATGGACTAAATCCATATTCTAATCATATCTCCAATCGAATATCACGATATATTCAAAGAATATCTGAGAGAATCTCAACAATATGATATAAAAAGAATCAAGAGATAAGAACCCTTAATTCCATCAAACAAAGCAGATATAATACTAATTGAAAGATTTTGTGCGGCCCAAGTCCAAGAAATAATTTTTATAAATAAGAGAGCAGGATATATTTATCACTTAAAAAATTTATTACTTTTATAACGAACCTAATCAATTTCCGTCAATCTAACGGTTATAATTTATTAGATTTATTGAGAATTAATAATTAATTAATAAATACGATCCAATAATTTCTAATAAATTATAACCGTTAGATTGACAAAAATCAACGGTTATTAAGTTGGTTGTAAAGATGGTAAACTTTTTTAATGGTAAGTATATTCTTCACCCATAAATAAAAGGCTAAAAATTCCGTGTACATACTTTTAACCTTGACTATATGCCTAATGCGTGCAGTGATTGAAACTTTGGTTTTACGCCAATAAAGTATATCTCTCTCATATACCACTTATGATATATAGATCTACGGTTGTTTAGCACCGAACACCTCCCACAAATCTTCAGATACACAGTCCCAATGCAACCTTGAAAAGCCACCCACTGCCCAAAGCCGCGTCCGATCAATCCAACTTCGCCAATAATCTGGGCCTTGACGACAAAAGCAGACCCAACAGCAACAAGGATCCAACGTCAGAAGAAAAGGCCCAGTTACTTGAAGGATTACAAAAGTTAGAAGGAGAAAGCAGGCCCAACTAGGATTTACTGCAGTAGGATAAGTTGAATTTCAATCATTACATCTTAAGATAAGAATAAAGATGTTTTTGGTGACTAACAAAAAAGACACCATACCCAGTTTCGTTTCTTACAAAAAAAAAAAATCAACTTTTGATCCCTTTACAATTCGAATTCTTTCAAAATGTGATTCTTTAGAAATTCAAAGAAGATCCAATTTAGTCTCTAGAAAAAGATTAATATGAGTATTCTTTTTGTAAGGGACGAAAGTGAGGACCGTACTTTTTTGTTAGGTCGCAAAAGTTCTTTACTCTAAGATCAGATTGCATACTCATCTACTATGGTTAGCATCTATCTTTTATCCTTTGCTTTTTCCGTTATTTTGAATTACGGTAGGATTGTTATAAATTTGGGGAAAATGACCGAATAACACAGGAATTATTTGGTCGCCATCTTGTCCCTATCTTTCTCTTCTCCCCTCCTTTTCATCCCAATTCCCCTGCTGCACCTATCTCCTTCAAATATAGTGACAAAAATCAGAGTTTCCTTGCTGAGAACTCTACAGAAGAAGAGCACAGCCTACACTGAGGGCATAACAATTGCATTGAATGATGATTATTGCGGATGCATGACTAAACTTCATGCTTCCACCCAACTACATCCAGGAGTTTTTCTTGCTCCACTAGCTAACATGGCTTGCCTCATCTCATTGGCTTCTACAGTCCGGCCTGCAGCAACATAGATGTCACGGAGGAGAATATAGTATCCCCCTTCATCTGGTTTCAACTCCAACAACTTCTTTATTACCCTTTCCCCCATGTCAACATCACCATGAATCCTACAGGCTCCAAGAAGTGCTCCCCAAATAACATCATTGCTTGGAATTGGAATGCTTGTGAGCAGATCATACGCCTCCTGTAATCGCCCTGAGCGTCCCAACATATCTACTACGGCACCATAATGCTCAATCCTGGGTTCAACTCCATAGTCCCTTTGCATGCTCTCAAACAATCTAATTCCTTCATCAACCAACCCCTTATGAGCATATGCAACCAGAAGTGCCAGAAGTGTCACCCCATCAGGCACAACCCCACAACGAATCATCCATTCAAACAAATATAATGCATCATCAGCATTCCCATGGTTAGCACAGGCAGTCATCATCGTGTTCCACGTGATCAAGCACTTCCTCCTCATGCCATTGAACACGTGCCATGCCTCCTCCAAGCATCCACACTTCCCATACATGTCAATGAGAGCATTGCACAGTGCAACCATCCATCCAAACCCATTTTTCTCTACATACCGGTGAACCATCCTACCAGTTTCCACATCTCCCAAATTGGCACAAGCCGAGATCACAATCAACATTGTAACCTCATCCGGCCTCACCCCAGCATGCATCATCTCCCCAAACAACTCCAACGCCTCTCTGGGCTGCTTTGCCCGGGTATACCCGGACAACATGGCTGTCCATGAAACCACATCCCTCTGGGGCATTTCATCAAACACCCTTCTTGCAATGTCCAACTCGCCAGCTCTTACGTGTGCAACAAGCAACCCCGACCAGGACACAACATCAATCTCCAAACCCATTTTCACAACATCCTCAAAAACCCTGCGAGCCAACAGGGTCACTCCCCAAGCGGCATACAAGTGTATCAACGCGTTTTGGACATGTAAGTGGTAACAAAACCCGAACTTGAAAACGGCACCGTGTATCTCATCGACCAGTTGTGTGGTCGTTGACCTTGACCGTGATTTGAGCAAGAAGGTGAAGGAATATTCATCCGGGGCGACGCCGTTTTGCCTCATGCGGTTGAACAAGTGGGTGGAGTGGGAAGCGGAGGTGGTGCTTTGAGAGTGTGCACGGATGAGGATGTTGTAGAAGAAGGTGGTTGGATGGGGCATTTGGTCGAACATGCGGTGGGCGTATGGTAAGTCGCCGAAGGGGGATACGGCGGCGAAGCGGAAGAGTTTGCCGAGGACCACCGTGTGTTGGTGGAGGCACGTGCGGAACGCGTGGGCGTGGATAAGCTTCAGGTCTCGCATGGAACTGCACCTCTCGGCGATGTAGACAAGTGTTGATGCAACAGTGGCTGTTCCCATTGGAATCCGAGCAACAAATTTTGAATGAATAAAGTAAAAACATGTCTTTCATTCCATGTTATTAAACCCACCCGTCATTCACCCAATCTAGGACAAGTGACCTTTCATCCACTTTTTTATCTAAAGCCAATAGTATTATTTTTAGAGCAAGTTTGCTACACTCTCCGGTGAATTTGATTTGTTGATGTGGCACGTTTATACTGGACAACAAGTTTGTTAGCGAACTATGTTACAATAAATGCTGACACATTGGAGAAATTTGTTGCCACATGCAGCGAACTAGGTGTACCACTAAGGGTGAAAGTGGGCTGGGCTGAGCCGAGCTTTGCCCCAAAAAGCCCAAGCCTACGTCAAAAAATTTCAATTTGGCCCGGCCCAAGCCTAGTATGAGTCTAACTGTTAGCCTGGTTTGACCCGTTTATGAAAAATAAAAAGGCCTGACTTGGCCCGTTAGCCTGTTAATTTTTAACTTCCAAGCAGAACCATGAATCAACTTTACAAAGTCCTCAAATTCTGTTGCTACACCAAAAATCACAATTTCAACGTCCAAACAGAATCCTGAATCATAACAAAACTAATACAATATGCATTTCAGTCATTTTCAAAAGCAAAATGCTCAAATTAAATAACATATATTTCATCAGATCCAACAAACAAATCCATACTATGTGAATTAAAATAACTACATGAATGTTATCAAAAAAAAAATAACTACATGAATCCAACAACCACATCATGATGCTTGTAGTAAGTATAACCTCTGCCAAAATCTTTTAATATATTCATATACACAATCTAACATGTTGAGATGTTGATTCCTCCTATATAAGAAATAAAGTAAGATTTCTATTAAAATATAATCGAATATGTTTAAGTTATAAATAATTACAATTGATTAAATTTATATCTTTTTTTTCTTCAAGGCATACTTACACTATTTTATTTTATTTGATTTAAAATAAACAATGCAACATAGGCCGGCCTGTAGGCTTATAGGCCCGGCCTTTTTATTAAACAGGTTTTTTTAAGGCTCAAGCCCGGCCTATTATACAAAATATACTAGGTCAGGTCTAGCCTGAAGCAGGCCGAGCCGTAGGCCCCTGTAGGCCGGCCCGTCCCAGTTTCACCCCTATGCAAGGAAGCACGGACACTTGTAAAAACAGGAAGAGTCGGATCTGACACGCTCCGACACGGCAACACGCTCCGACACGGAGTCGGACACGCGGTTGACTTTTTTCGACACGCTCCGACACGGTGTCGGACACACGGTTGACTTTTTTTGACACGTTGACCATTCCGACACGCGAATTTGACCGTGCCCGACACGGTCAAACGGCATTTTCGTAATTTTTTTAATTTTTTTTTAACTTTTTTTTAAAAAAAAATTATTTTTTTAAAAGTTAAAATATATTAATAAAGCTTCCACCTGATCATATCAATTTTATCTTTTTTGTCTTTTTTCCCCTTAAGTAGATAAGAGATCATCTCAGCATCATTGTTGTCAATTCCTATCTCGCTCTTGTTGTACCTCCTTCTCTCTGATCTCTCTCTAATATGATTTGATCTCTCTATCTGATATTATATCTTTCTCATCCCAGTTCTTATTTTTTTATTAAAGCTTTTATCTTTATAACGTGTTGATGTGTATTATTAATTTAGTTTCATTTTGTTGTTAAAGTATTAAATATTAAATGAAATAAACACTATATAAATTAAAAATATTATTTAATATTAAAATGTGTCCCAACGTGTCGAAATCCATAATTTTTTAGGATTGACGTGTCGGAGTGTCGTGTCGTGTCATGTCACGTGTCGCGTGTCGTATCGGTGCTACATAGCCCCTATGTACCACGTGTTTGACATGCACCAAGTTTGCTGAAGGTCCAAGCGAACTAGATGCCACGTGGCACAATCTTGTTGTCTGATCAGAATTAATGTACCAATCACAATTAAAAAAACGAAGAAAAATAGCTATTTAATTAATGTATCAATCAAAATTAATGTAGCAATCATCAATTACAATTAATGTACCAATTACCAATCACATTTAATGTACCAATGGGAATAACTTTTGATTGTACCAATCACAATTAATATATCAATCACCAATCACTTCAGAGGACCATAACTTTTGATTCGGATATCCAAATCAGATATTTTTTATTTTATTTTATATAACTTTTCGAGATCTACTGAATGACACTTCATTTGACATATTTTATCTCTCACAAATATCTTTCGAATTTGTAACAATGGTATCACAAACAATTAATGTATCAATCACCAATCACAGTTAATGTACCAATCAAAATTAATTATGATTGGTACATTAATTATGATTCGTGATTGATACATTAATCGTGATCAGAATTAATCGTGATCGGTGATTAATACATTAATTGTGATTGGTGATTGATATATTAATTGTGATTAGTATATTAATTAAATAGTTATTTTTCTTCGTTTTCTTTTTTGATTGTGATAGGTACATTAATTCTGATCGGTTAAAGAGATTGCGCCACGTCGGACACGAAGTTCGCTACCACTTCCTTCAGTCAACTTTTTATGGGACAATGTGCCACCTTTCACGAAATCATTGGCTACCAAGTTCGCTATCAGTGGTAGCGAACTTTGACATGTAGCAGTCATCTTTTCTTGCGAAAGTGTGCCACGTGTCAAGAAATTATTGACTACTAAGTTCGCTAGTGGTAGCGAACTTCAAAGCGTGACAGTCTAGTAAATTTTACTGTTCGCGTGGCATTTCGGTAAAAAAGTCAATGAACAGTGACATATTAGTCATTGTTCCCCCGATCTAGGTATCTTGTTATTGGATTATTGATTTCAACTAGCAATTAAAAAATTATAACGGAAAGACTGTTATAATTATTAAAATGTTTAATTTTTTGTCCCAAAACAATGTTATTTTAGAGTCAACGTAGATAACTTATCTACATTAACAACAAAAAAAATGAGCCCATAATTTATATTAAAAAAAAATTGTTACTTACTCCTCAATTTTATGTATTTATTCTTGTTGTCTTTTTATAAAGTCCTCACAATCGCATGCTTTTAAGGCCTAACTTTGAATATAAACCTAGCCGAAAAAGAGATTTGAATTTTGCTGTAGAGAAATTTTATGCATGTACCTTGATATGAGCCAAGCACAAGTGTTCATGTTATATAATATATACATGCTGGAATTGCAAGTCTGTTTATTTACTTTCAATTTTTGCAGTTCCATCAATATAATCTATAATTGGCAGCGAGTTCTAATTATCATTATAAATTATCAAAGAAAAACATTATCTAAATCACGTATGAGATACATTAGGAACAGCCGATCAACTGGAAATAAGAACCGAGCTAACCAAATGAACAAAATTGGGGTGAAGGATCTTAGAGGAGCTTCTTCCTCTCAAAGAAAGTCTTCAAATGCCATAGTTGCAAACCAGCCACAGACAAGCAAACCAAAATTGAAAGGAAAGTGAAGGTAAACATCTTGGTGTTAGTCGCTCTGTTAAGATCTTGCATCTCTTCCTCCCTATGTCAGCCCCATGGAGAAAAGGTCATCAAAATTCAGCAAAAACTCTAATTAGATTGGATAAAATTCTAGGCTCCAATAGAGTGCATGATCATGTGAAGTCAAACCTTTCAAAATTTAAACATAAAATAGAACTCTGTCACCAGTCAACTACACCCTTTCCTCCAAGGCTTATCACATTCATGACCCGTACAGAATAACATGTGAGTAAAGAAGTTGATTCACAAAGGTGGAGAACAAGAGAGAAGGACGTTGGTAGCATAAAATATGGAAAACTTCTGATGAACACCAACCCACTGAATGATTAGGGTTATGACATGTTAAAGAAAGACCACGGAATAATCTTTGTTATCCCATGGGAATTAAAAAACCTGTGTCACAAATTTTCTAGAAAGTTTTTTAATTTCTGTTTTGTTGGTTAGGCGTAAGGGTAATTGGTTAAGTGATTTCATTGCTACCTCTCTTTTGGGGATAATAAGACAACAAAATAAACAGTTTTCCATGGCAACATGGATCAGATCACTCATACACGGATTAGAGAATAGCAAAAGTTGATGCAAGGCATTGATATGAGTAAATAACCTATATTCTTTCTTAGTGTGTATGAAAATGCTGGCAAGGACATGCCATAGCCAAACACAGAGATCCGTCTCAAAAAAGTATTCCAATTTCATCTGAGCCAACAAGGATATGTTCCATATATGTTGTATTTAAAAGAAATTTTGAATGAACCTAGTAAAACACCGTTCCCATCAGAAGATCACATGGAGAAACATTGTATATTAAATCAAAGATGCCAACTACGCAGGAAAAACTTTTATACCTTCCACGAAGATAAAACATCTCGTCATGGATTGATGTGACAGTTTCATACAACTTCTTTAACTCAAATTCCATTACCTAAGATGGAAAGAAACAACACTTTAATTAGAATATACACCAGACTAATAATTAGATTTATAAATAAAAAATCCCTGCAGCTTACAAAGGGGAAAGAAATTAGGTTGATGTTTTAGAATCACCTTATAAGTCGTTCATGTTTATCAACTTCTTTCACAAAAAATCTTTCAGGAGTTAGACAGGGAAATATAAAATGACAGACTGGAATTTAGCAATGATATTAAAACATGTGTTCGTGGTTCATACTTTTGGGATTTGACATCTTAATTTAGCAAGAAAGATACATATTCATACGTAAAGAATGGGCTAGCTAAGGTAAAAATTTGGATTAAAAACCACGGCGTAACATTAAATCTGAGTAAATAACCTATATTCTTTCTTATACAGGTTCTGCCAGTTCCTCATTTTCCCTATCCATACAACGTAAATTATTGTCAGAAGTTCCACTGACTTAACCTTTTAGACAAGCATAATTTGTAATTCTATCACAGGAAAAATGGTGAACAAAGAACTAAGATTCTAGAAGAGGATCAAGGAAGGTCCTATTGAAACAAGAAACAGAAATTCAAAAGCTACCGAGTCAGATTATTAACTTCAAAATTCAAGTTAATTCCAGACTTATGAAATATGAATTTAGTAAAAGCTCATAGTGACTCCTCTTCCTCCCTGCATCTTCAAGCCAAGACAAAGCTACTCTTTGTAAGTGCATTCCCATAGAATGAAATTACAGCAGCAGCTAGATCTACATTGCTTAGTTTAATCAGTCATAATATCACAACGAACTAATTATGGTGAATTCCTAGGACTCCAAAGCGCTCCTCCAATGATACCAATCATACACATATAAATGTTAAGTCAAGGAACATTATAATACTACTCAGACTTACTTCAATCTGCCCTTTCTTGGCAACCATAGACAAGTCCTTGGCAGCAACCCCAGTTCTCCAATCAAAATCAATGACCACATTAAACGTAGGATTGTGATCAGTTTGTACCGAAAAACAAGCTGTGTAGTCACCACCCTCAGCTGCAGTAAATGCAAAAGTTCCAGAACCCACATTATCTCCAAAGTGATAATTGTTCCCATAAGGCGAACGCACCTGGCAACCAATCACATTATACACACGCCAATAGATGCCATAAAAGTGTGAGCCATTTCAAATTCAGAAAACTTAAAATTCAAAGCCAAAATAAAAAAACGAAAATAATAATAATAACATTTTAGTTAAAATTAATGTTTTTCATTTAAAATTCAAATTAAAAAAAAATTACTCACTTTTTCCCTGTGATTTTCATTGTGTATATCTCTTTCTCTTGTTTAAAAAGACAAAGTACAAACATCAAACCCTAATAATAATTACAAAACCTTCTAACAAGTAGACAACAGCTAACCCATTGGGGATCCAAATGTTCTTGTTCTCATACATTTTCTACCACAAAGATTTTGAAAAAAAATGCACATTTTTATGTTAATTCATAATAATAAAAGAAAATAATAGAAATAAAAAAACCCAAATTTCCTAATTTGAGATTGAAAGGGTGCAATCCAAAACATACCCTGACAGTGATCTTGTGAGAATCAGGAATCGGGTACCCTTCGTTGGGATTAATGACGGAGTACTTGCCGACGGTCATGGCATTGCTCTTGATGTCCTCGGACATGCACTTGGCTTGACCAGATTTCAGCTCGAACCGCATTGAATTCACGAAGCTACACATCAATGCAGGGTAAAGAACTAGAAGAAGAAGAATCGAATTGGACATTGCGTCAATGGAATCTTGTCAATTTGGCCGAATTGGGATTTGAGGGATTATTTTAGGGTTTGTATGGGAATGAAGAAGGGGAACGACGACGGGAATCAAAACGGCAAGCGACAATAGCTGCACCGAAATCAAAACAGAGAAATGCATAATTAACGGTTAACTACCAGGATACAGTTGATGTTTCGGCCATAGCATGAGAATTTTTATTTTTTTATTTTTTTTTATATTCGCGTGAAATGAGTTATTTTAATAAAGGGAATAACGTTTATAATTTTTGTCTTGCACACACATATAGGGTCCCGTGGAACCAAATGAAGAGAAGAGAGAAAAAAAAAAAAAATGAGTCTCACACATTTTAATGTGTGTATAGGGTGTACATGATAATCATTATTTTTACTAACACTATTTCAGACAAGAAACAATTTTTGTTTATTTCTGTGCTTTGGAACAGTTTCTTCAAAAAAAAGTGTTTGATAACATGTTCTATTTTTATTCCGAGAATGAGAATTGTGTTTGATAACACAACAAATAAGAGAATAAAAAATCATTCCCATTAAGTATAAAAAGTTTTCGGATCATCACTTTAATTTTCTTTTAATATGGTGTGGTGGTGGTGGCGTCGGAGGCGGCGGAGGTGCCATGATGGTGGTGGTGGCGTGGTGATAATAATGGTGGCGGTGGCGGTGGGTGGTGATGGTAATAGTGGTGGTGATTATTGTTGCGAACACGGCAAGTATACCGTTAGTTTCAAGTAATAAAGTGATAAGTAGAGTATCGTTCCCACCAGGATTAATGCACTAAGTACTAGTTTAACTATTCCCCTTAAGTTGAAAAATAAGAATTGGTTTGATTTGTGAAAGTAATTTAAAAACAATTAAATTTAAAACAGAAAAGTAATAACAATTAATTTTGAATGCATGCAAGAAAAGATCAAGAACGTAAAAAAATAGTGATGAAAAATTTATAAAAAGGATGTAGCCAGGATGCACTTCACCTCCGATTAGGGGTGATAATAAGGCCAGGGGCCTATCAGGGGCCTTAGGCCCGGCCCGTTTTGGCTCGGCTCGGCTCGGCTTTTTTTATTATTAAGCCCAGACTTATACTCGTGCAAAAGCCTTTTTATTTAAAAGGCCTCAGGCTTCCATAGCCAAGCCCGGCCTTGAAGCCTTGGAGGCTGGCCCGTATACATTAAATTTATTTATTTTTTATATTTTTATATTAATCATTTCAACATCCTTTTCTCAGTTTTCTGTCTGTGCTCTATCTCTTCTCCCCGATCTAAGTCATCGTCCCACCAACTGGTAAATGAAGTCATGTTCAACATCTATTTTTATAAGCCATGCAGATTCCACGGCTTATAACGATGCTTATGGCGGCGACCGTGGAAGAAAATTTAATATAAAATGTGGAAGAAAATTTATTGGTTGAGTTTCAAATCTAGTGTAAAAAATCTAGAATATTAAGGAATGTGGAAGAAAATTTAATGTAAAAAATCTAGAATGTGGAAGAAAATTAAGGAAAAGCAACGTAAAATAAAGTAAAAGTGTTGTTGTTATTTTGATTTTTTAATATTAATTTTTTTTATTATAAAAGAAACAACTATTATTTTCTTACAAAAAAATACATATCAGTACATGATTAATGGGCTAAATACTGCTACAAATTGGAAGGTAAGGTTTTTATTTTTAATAAATAAACAGGCCACAGGCTTGAGACAGGCTTTTATTTTTTGTAAACGAACCAGACCACAGGCTAATATTATATTCGTAACAGGTAACAGGCTAAGGCCAGTTTGACACGTTTAAATACAGGCTTGGCCCGTTAAGATCAAAGCTCGGCTCGGCTCGGCTCGGCCCGTTAACACCCCTACCTCCGATCCTCCCTTATATTCCTATATTATATTTTATAATTAATTAAAATTTTCTCAGACAATTTATTATTTCCCTATAAAATAGTTGAATCATAATGTCTTAGTGATTTCAAACATTTAACCTAATTAGAATCCTAATGTCTTAATAATTTCTCTTGAATCAAACATTAAGCAAATGAATTATGAGTCTGCAATCTATGTAAGCCTATATCTAGATCATACACAAATTGTTATTCTATCCTTGTCCAGATTAAAACCCCAATATGTCTATTGTGAAATCTAACGCTCAAAGCCCTATAATTTAGAGTGGCCAATTCTAAACAGGATATGGAAAAATTAACACAGGTAGAATAAAACTAACTAACTAATTAAATTATAAAAACAATATAGAAAATATAAAGGATTCACATCGGTCTGTAATCCCAACTACAAAAAAAAACTAGCCAGACATAGCTGGCTTAAACAAAATAAAATAATAAAAAGAACTCATAAAAGCAATAAAGAAAAAAAGAAGAAGATGAAGGATCAATGATCTCCAGTCTTCAACTTCGGTGGAATCCTGATCTCCAGCGTGAGCCTCCAAGAATTCATTCCAGTCAAAGATTGTTTGTCTCTGAGGTCTGAGTCTCTATTTATAGAGTTTATGCCTTGCTTAGAAATCCTGATCATATCTTCAATGGAATCTTCACTATAATCTTTAATCATATCTTTGATCAAATCCTTCAAATCTTTCTCTTTTTAATTTAATGGAAAACTTTTCTTAAAAATATTCAAAGGAATATTTGATAAAATCTTCAATGATTCAGAAATCCAAAGCAACTCTATTTGATATCTCCAATTATCTTTTTATTGAGCTGAAATTACTGCAAAATATCAGAAATCTTATGAGAATATTATTGAGAATAAAATAACAATTTAATTACAATTCTCATAACGTTTAATTACTTTTAATTCAATTTCATACTCATATTGACCCTTAAAACATAGTAAATTGAAGATTCATCAGTGGTGACGACAATGGTTACAGTGATGGTAGTAGCACGATGATGGTGGCGTTGGTTATACAAAGGGAAAAATATTTTTCCTTTTAAAATATGGTTATTTTAGTTAAAATTTGTGTTTTTATTTAAAATTTAAATTAAAAAACACTCACTTTCTCCTCCATAATTTTCATTGTATATCTTTTTTTTTTTGGATATTTTTCATTATATATCTCTTTCTCTCACTTAAAAAAACACAATTCTGGGTTTGTGCTAGGGTTTCATCGTTGTGCGTGCCTAGCCATGCATTCGAGGTTTGGATTCAAAAGAAAAAGATAATCTTCATCGAAGCCAAAAGAAAGTTAAAGGAGGTAATGCAGAATTCTCGAATTAACATTCCATGGTTCCTAGAGAGGAGGACTGGATGGCTGGACATAAAAGTTTCAAGGAAATATTAATGAGACATAATGGAGAGTGGGTGTCGGATGAGGAGGACGATCCAGGCGAGGAGGACGAAATGCAGGTTGAAAGAAATCGAGAGGAAGAACAAGGAAATCAGGATAGCGTCCCGAAGGTAATGATGGAAACTAGGGTTGATGGGAGAATTAACTTTAGAGTTTAAGAAGAAGGCGTGGAGACCTTGGAGACAAACTCTAATTGTTAAGCTTCTGGGGAAAATAGTTTCAGTTTTGTACATGAAGAAAAGACTTGATAATATGTGGGCAAGAGAGGGTAGGATTTACGTAACTGATATTGAGAATGACTATTTTTTAGTCAGATTTGAGAAGAAAGAAGATATGGAGTTTTCTTTGCTGGCTAGTCCATGGAGTATATTCGATCACTATCTGGTTGTTAGATTATGGGAACCGGATTTTCAGGCAACACACGCTTCAATCAATAAGGTTAACGTCTGGGTGAGATTGCCAGGGTTCCCTTTGAAGTATGTGAACACCCCTCTGATGAAAACCGTTGGAGATTGGATTGGAAAATTTGTTAGACTAGATTCAGCAGCTACAAATCTTGCTAGGGGTAAGTTCGCAAGGATTAGTGTTGAGTTGGATCTTAGCAAACCTTTGAAGAATGAATATTATATTGAAGGAAGATATAAACAAATAGAATATGAGGGTCTCCATCTAATTTGTTTTAGTTGTGGAAAATATGGTCATAATTCATGAGTATGTCCTATTGCTCAATATTCTCATAATGATACTCAAGAGAAGGAGGCTATAGGGATTAATAATGAATAAATACCGTCTGACAGAAACAAGGGTGGGGGAGATGATGGCTTAAATAATTTCGGTCCGTGGATGGTGGTTACAAGAGCTCGTAGATCAAGACCTCAGAATGGTAGAGGGGGAAACACACAAACAAATAATCAGAAAGAGGAGCAGCCGATGAAAAATTCTAATACTAAGGGTATCTCAAAAAGCCAACAAGAAGATAGGGTGGATCAGATTGAAGAGAATTCGGAGAAAGTCAGTCAAGGGCCAATAAAGCATTTACAGAAAAACACAAAAGGAGAAGCTAAGGACAAATTGCAGATAGTGGAGACTGATTCTGCCTTTAAGCTGTTTGTAGAAGGTAAAGATGGAGTGTTATATGAACTGAAAGATCAGGAAAGGATGAATAAAAATGTTCAAGCTGTTTCAGGTCTCAGAGTGGGGAATAAGGTTGATAAAGACAACCAAGTCTTGGGTGATAATAATATGGAGGTGGATGGAATCAGGATAGAGTCCAATAGCCAGATTAAAAAGCTTTCGTTAGCTTCGAGTTCATTAGCTCATGAGGATCATCAAGAAATAAATTCTAGGAGGGTTATAGAGAAAGCACCTAAACCTCCAGATCCAATTGTTGCTGGTAATATGATGGAAGTTTATAAAGAAAGAGGAAACTCTCATAGAGAAGATACAACAAAAATGTTGATGAACCCCATGTTGCAGGTGCAATCTCATCTTGCAATATCAAACACTTTTTAATGTCTTTAATTTTCTGGAGTTGTAGAGGGGCGGCTAAGAGAAATTTAGGCCGAACCCTTAAATAATTAGTTGGAAAATATAAGGTTTGTTTGGTTGTTCTTATGGAAACTCGGACGAGTGGAAGAATATGCAATAAGTTAATGAGGAAAATTAACTTTGATAAGGTTTTTGTTGAGGAAGCAATCGGATTTTCTGGTGGCATATGGGTGTTTTGGGATTCCAGAAAAGTCTCGGTTCAGGTTATTAATCATTCTAATCAGTTTATTCACATGAAGGCGAGTATTGATCAAAGCACAAGCTTCCTTTGTACGGCTGTTTATGCCAGCCCTCAAGAGGATAG